TCATGTTATTTGAAGTTTTCTTTTTTAATAATCAAATTGATATCTTTCAGGTTTTGTGTAAATTAAATGAAAATATAAATATTATTCAAGCTTCGGTTAATAAAAGTTGTTCATTGGTGTCATTAATTGTTAAAAAGAAAAATGAAGAAAATCAAGATGGGACTGAATACTATGAACATTTCATCGCCCAAGTCATAAAAAATGACAAAGAAGAACCTATTCTTCAAAAATTAATTGATTTAGAATGTCTCGGCTTGAAACGAAAGCAACAAATAATGACTAATTTTTTAAAAACAAAATCTAAAGATGTTTCTAAACTTTTAATATTCATACATCTTGAATGTAAATTTCTTTTTTCTTTTTTTTATAAATTATTTTTACACTTTTAACGGATTGTAATTCGTCTGATGTTTTTTTTTTTACAGGTATATCATTGTACAAATTGACCAAAGAAAATCCTGAAAAATTATTGATTGTTCAAATCGATGAGATAACAAAGTCTTTCATGTGGGCACAATGGGACTGTGAAATTCAGTCATTGTATTTTATACATTTTCGAAAAACATCACTTTCTGTTGAAGGTGATGATTTGTTAAAACAAGAAACAACACCAACTTTGAGTTGTCTTCAGTTTCACGAAGATCTTCCTCACGAAACCGTGGTAAAATTCTTAAAATTGAACTTGTGAATCTTTTGTATTCCAATATGAATATATATTTTTTTTCTTAGTTGAACATACCTTTGAATTTACCAAACATTTCGAGCACGAAGGACATGGGTTGCAGAATATACGAAGACGATCCATTGCCATTAAGAATTCACGATTGTTCTCTTGATTTAATTGTCGTGTCTGATCCATCAGGTACAATATGTATTTGCCATCATTATTTGTATCAGGCACGTGTAACTTAATATTGTAAAAATTAAGAAAAGGAATTGTTGATATGAAGTAAGAAGAAATATTTTTTGTTCAGCCAATAAAAGGACCAAATATAGATAGTCCTAAATCGGAAGCGACGGTTCATTTTGCCTACTCCGTTACTCTTTTACATCATGGATGCGTAATTCACAGTGTTGTTCCTGGAGTACCCTGGAGCCAAGCAAAAACAATGAAACCAGTGTTTGCATTTCTAGGAAGTAAACTACTTTTTTTTTATTGTTAAAATTTTTTTTGAAAATGATATGATTTAAAGTAAATAATAATTTTTTTTCAGGTCAATATTTGGTTGTTTACGTCGCAGGGTTGTTTACTCATTTATTAGATATCGGTTTGGCACACGAACCATTTTGCCACATCCTCATGAACGGGGTGTTGTCAATGGTACCTCAAAGTGCTTCACGATTGGTAACCATCAAAGGTGAATTCACGGAGTCCACAGTATTTGAAGACGATACGGAATTATTACCAACAATAATGATTGATCTCAACACGATGGATTTATTAGAATTTGAAATAGATGTCGAAGATTTAATGACTAGTTTATCAACAATTGAATCAATGAATAATAGATTATCTATTTTACATTATTTATTAATTCATGCAGTTGATTTTGAAAGAGTGGAAGAAGTAAATTTTATTCTTTACATTTTCTTAATTTTTTTTGAATTTTTAACGCGAATTGCAAATTTTGCTCTTTTTAACCCGTAGGCATTAATGATTTTGATAAAACAACCGACTGATATTAATACTCCTAAATTTTTACAAGAAATTCTTATTGGAGGAGCTTATTCCTTGGCGAAAAAAAAATTTTCTTCTGAATTCAATCACCTCCTTAACCTTTTACCCATGACTTGCATTGAACTGAAAAGACAAACCGAAACCAAGGTGGTATAAAATATTTGTTACTTTTTTATAGTATGTAAAAGTTTTTTTTATCAACATTATTTTTTAAATTCAGTTAAGTAAAGTTTCTTGTACGATTACTCAAGAAATACTTTGGAATACAGCAATGATGTTATTATCTCCTCGACAAAGACTGATTCCGTTTGCGACGGATATATGGAAAAAACTTTGGGATCAATTAATAAAATTAATGGAGACGCCCAGATTCAAACCTTGTCAAGTAGCTGATAAACTTCTCATGTCTCTAGAATGCTATCAGGTTCATATAAAATCTTAATAAACTCGTTTAAAACCATTTAATAAAATTTAAAGATGGCAAATCATTTTAGCCAGAAGCATTATCAACGTGCACGACACCAATTTCTTCGGGAATAAGCCTTTTAGATCATTATTCAGATCTTTCTGATGCCAATCAAAAATCAAAATGCATTGAAACTAATATGAAAATTTTTCTTCCCTTCACGGAAACGGAAAGTTGCACGGCCAGTAAACAAGAACACGTTATTTCAATAGTAAGAAGAACTGTTTTAGGATAAGTAAAGCATTAAATTTGTGTTTATTTGAAAAAAAAAAAAAAAATTCCATTTTAGAATTTAAGAGAAATAAGTTTACATTTATTAAAAAATAATCTTCACGAACATCCTGCTAACGTCAACCCTGTAGCAACTAGTTATGTAACAGCTCAATTAGAAATATCAAAATTATTATGTCACCTGTTAGGAAAAATGTCTGGAATCGAAGATGATATGTGTTCAGAAAAAGGATTTTCATTAATGTGAGAAATTTTTTTTTTTTTTTTTTAAAATAATAATTCTAGTGTTAAAAAAAACACATGAAATTTTTTTATTTTAGAAAAAAAATGACTTCAAAACAAAGAATTATACTATTTTCTTATTATCAAAGATATTACAATGCTGCTGACACTTTGGCTTATCCATTACCAAGAGGTTTTACATCCTTTTTTTGTTATTTGGGTTTTACTTCTCTTTCTTATCAGTATTTTTTAATGTATTTAAAAAATAATGTATTTGAATTACAAATCGACGTAATGAAGGAAATAATGCAAGGTAATTTTTACAATTACTCATAAAACCAAAATTAGTATCGAATAATAATAATTACATGTTTTTCAGACATTGAAGATACCGAGGAAGGTGTAAATAAAAAATTACAATTATTATTATTATTGCCAAGATCCAGAGCTAAAAGACTTTTGCATAATTGGTCTCATGGTGTTAGCTTAATGATAAGAGCTCGAGAACACGCATTAAATATATTAACAGGAGTTCAAAGTTCACGTACGAAAGGTTTTTCTCATTCTCATCAATTAACAATGAAAAATTCAAAAGGTAAGAAAAAATTTTAAAAAAATTTAGTCATTTTTGTACTCCATTCATAATTTTTATTATTTATTGTTTATTAAGGATTGGCTGCATTTCCATCTGCCGATGGTTTATCCCCTTTGGATACTTTTTTAGATTTATTAACAGCAAAAGTTTGTCAATAAATTATTAAACCTTTTTCGTAATTATTATTTATTTATTTTTTTTTTACAAATTATACAAAATACTTTCAGCTAGCCTAACAGATTTGGATTTTAATTTATTAATTGATGCCACCATAGCATCAACACAAAATATATTTTCAGAAAATGATTCACAAAAAGAATAATTGAAAATTCCAACATGTCGCTCAATATATATATATATATATAATCTTTTTTTATAATTTAAAAATATAAATTTGTGCAAAAATAATTACAAGTGGATTTATATTTATTTAATAATTAATCGATACTTTCTAAATCGATAATTGATTTCCTCCATGAAGCTGTACTTTCTGGAGTCAGGTTTCGTAAGCAGTAATTTCTATAGTGTAATATTCTAAAATGATTTTTTTTTTTTTTTTTTTTTTTATTAATGGGAACGAATGTTGTTGATATTTTTTTTAAAAAGGGAATTTTACCTGGTTCCCGGTAAATTTGTTATTCTACCTTCTCCATACGGTATTCGCGTCCTCAAATTTCCCCATTTATCCTCTTGTTTTGGATCAATTAAAAAAAATAAACTTCTTCCCTCTGAAAAATCCACTTCGGATTTATAAACGTCTAAAATTTTAAAACCGGTCGCATAATATTCAGGCGTCATGAATGCAAATTTACAATCCCGTGGTAATGCATCTAAAAACCGTTAAACCGTTATTGGGGGGAGGGGGGGGGAAAAAAAAAGAAAAAATCATAAAATTTTCTTTTTTTTTTGCAAATGTGATTTTTACACAAATATATTACCGTAAAAACGAGGTCTTTTTCCAGGATGTATAGTTTTTAATGATGATTTTTTTATACAGGGTGGTACATATTTATGAGGAGGCAATGGGTGTTCTATTTTTTTAAAAATTTGCCCATCTTTATTATTATTAACCATTATTATTAAAATTATGATTTATTTACCTTAAAACTAAAATTTAGAATAATTAATAATAATAATAATAATAACACTAAATTAAATTTTTTAAAATGAGAATTTATGGAATTGGGAATAAAGCAAATGATAAAATGGAGAGAAAAAAAAATTAAATTTTTAAAATGAGTTTTAATTAATAAAAAAGTTTGTGACTTGAAGGAATTATTAATAAATAATTTGATAAATTTTTTATTTAAAAAAAAAAAAAAAAAAAAAAATAGAATATTGTTTATTTATTTAAAATTTTGAAAAATGTATAAATGTTTATATAAAATCACAATTATAAACGTTGTTTAAAAAAATTTAGTAGAATTTTTGCATGGTGTTCAACATATTAATAACTAAACTAATAACAATTAAAAAATGCATATTATGAAATTTGTAAAAAAAAAAATTGAGAATAAAATTAGAAAAACTTTTTTTATAAAATTGACTTACAAACTAATATCACTTAATAATGTTGCAAAAACATGCAAAACAGCCGACTTAAAATTATTTTTATAAATTATTAATAAATGTATTTTTGCATTATTGTGATGCAAGTAGTTTTAAAAAAAAAAAAAAATTAATATCGAATAGTTATTTGATGTTTAAAAATTTCGAGTATTGATAAATTATAAAACTTGTTTTTAAGCATAAAAGAAATTTACAATTTTATACACTCGCTTATAATATGATTCATCAATAATAAAATTTAAACAATAAATAAATAAATAATGCTTATTTAAAAAAAAATGGCACTTAAATGACTAATTAATAATAATATTAATCACAATTTATAATTATTTTTAAAATTCGATTAATATCAATAAAAAAATTTTTTTAAAAAATAAATTGTCATGAAAAGTAATCGTTAAAGCTCAATATAAATTTCACATAATAAATATATTAAATAATAATAATAATAGAAACAAATTTCATATTTAAAGAAATTTATTTTAATAAATAAATAAATAAAATTATGAAATTCATATGCAAAGCATTTCGCTTGTATTTAAAAAAAAATTATATTTGTTCTCGTCTAATGGATGGCTTTAGCAAATAATTTAACTTATGAAATTGTTTAACTAATTAATAAAAAATAAATTATAAAAATAAAACTTTATAAATAAGTGAAACAATAGTTAAGAACAAAAATAAATAAATTTTAATAAATAAAAAAAAATATAATTAAAACATTGCTTTATATGCATTAAATTAAAATAAAATTAAAAATAAAAATATTTCAACAATAAATGTTTCAAGTTTTGCCAATAATTTTTATTAATATAAAATAATTAAATAAATTAATAAATAATAATTAAGAGCCTAATAGCACCATGCATTTTCATATCTTCTTTTTTTTAAGAAATTATCTAAATCTGCCAATTGTTGTAGAAAGCCTTCATTCGGATATATGGCTCTCTTTTTCTTAACAGTTCTTAATGCTTCAGCAGCAGACATGCCTAATTTAATCATTAGATAAGCTAAAACACATGTGCTTGATCTTGACTTACCCATCAAGCAATGTACATAAACTATTCCATTTGAATTGATTGCATTTTGTATAAAATCAGCAGCGACATGAAAATATTCCGAAATCTTGACGCTAGGATGATCCAACAATTGAAATCCCATATATTTAATTCCGACATCCTTATAAAAGTACCCATTGGTATTGACCATACTAAAAGCTTTTCCTTCTGCAGTATTTAATACATGAGTAATTCCTAGTTTCTTCAAAAAGTCCTTATTTTTAGCTGTAGTCCTATTCAAAAAAATTATTGAAAATAAATTTTTATTAATTTTGTAACAAACTTTGACATGATGCGACAAAAAAATTTTTGTTCCTTTTAGAAAAAAAAAAAAAATTTTTTAATTAAATCATAAAAAAAATCTAAATTAAATTTTTTATAGACGCCTACCCATCGCCAATAAATATATTTGGATAAACTTCATCACAATCAACGTATAACATTCCAACATAATCATCCCTAAAATATTTTTGCCTGCAATATGATCCGCAAGTTGGGGTTTGATGCATTATCTGTATCAAAGATTGAGCCGTTGTTTGTCCACTGTTAAAATATTCTGTATGGTGCTAAAATATTTAATTTTTTTTCAAAGAAAAAAAAAAAAACTTAATTATCCATATTCAGATATTATTTCTATGAGCAATGATTTAATTTTTTTCAACTTACCTGAGATACATCTCTTGGAAATGAGTAGTGAGGATAATTTCTATTTTTCCAATTTAAAGGCATATTTAAAATAACTTTCTGAACTTCAAACTAAAAAATTCATAAATAAAAATGAAAATAATAATCCCTTTTTAAAAAATTGTTTAAATCGCCAATAAGAAAATTTTATGAGAAAGAAGTAGTTCTGATAAAACACAACGGTTTTAGAAACAATTTTTCATCCTACATAATAGATTCTACGCATTACTTCTGTAGTAAATTATGTATGTTGGCTTTAATAAAATTAATGATAAAATAATATTTAACCAACAATAAATAAGTTTTTAAAAAAAATTTTAAATTTTAATTTTTAAAAAATTCATATATAAAATAAAATAAAATTTAAAATTTTTAAATAAAAGTTTTGAAACTAGTTCAAGGATATGTATTTATTTATATTTGTGCGTAATATTAATTTTCTGTGAACATAAACATTTTTTTTCTAATTATTACGGGAATCAGTATCATTCTTAAAAATTTAATTTGATAAAAAATTTTTTTTAGTAACTTAATTTTAATTGTTATTTAAATTTTTAAAATTGATTTCATTGTAATTTTTTTTAAAAAAAAGTGTTTCCAAAATTAGAGTAGTAAGGCAGACATTTTATTGTGATTCAGTTGACATTCGCAACAATTTAAAAAAAAATGGGTTGTGATGGAGGAACTATTCCTAAAAGAGATGAATTAGTGAGGACTAAAAAAAAACCAGAACAAGTAAGTTTTTTAAATATAATATTTTTTCTAATTTATTTATTAAAAATTTTTTAAACAAAATTAACAAGTTTTATGCTTATATTGATTAAATGTTAAAATTTTTTTAAACAATAAGTTCATTTTTGATTTATCCTTTTTCAGAAAGATAAACAATCTGAATTGTCATTTAAATGGGGACATTGTGCAATCACCCAAGAGCCGTTAAAAGCGCCTATCGTTGCTTGTCAGCTTGGAAGGTTATACAATAAAATGGCCATATTAGAATCGCTTCTTGATCAATCTGGATTGCCCGATGGATTTAAACACATTAAAAATTTACGTGAAGTGAAAGAACTTAATTTAACTAATAATCCAGCTTTTAAAGATTCTGATACAAAAGGTGATTCATATAACGACAATGTTTCTCCATACATATGTCCAGTAATTGGTTTAGAAATGAATGGAAAGTACAGATTTGTGTACTTTTGGTCTTGTGGATGTGTCATATCTGAAAGAGCACTTAAAGCTGTAAAGACTAAAATATGTCATAAATGTCAAAAACCATTTTCTAATAATGACATAATAATTCTTAATGGTACAGATGAAGATTTGCAGCTAATGTCTGATTTAATGAAAGAAAGGCAAAAAGAATTAAAAGCTAAAAAGAAACAGGACAAAATCAACAAAAAATTGGCAGATAGTAGTAAACTTAATGCAGAGGGAGAAAGTTCAAATTCTGAACTTTCATTGTCTAATAAAAGTAATTCAGTATCGAAATGTTCGAATTCAACCAAACACTGCATAAAAAGACCTAATAATGGAGTTAATATGCAAATTGAAGATCCACAATTTAAGAAAACAAAGTTAGACTATAGTGTTGCCAAAGATCCAAAGGCAACTGAGGTTTTTAAGTCCATATTCACTTCTCATAAAAGTGCAGATAAACAAATAAAAGCCCATTGGGTCACTTATAATCCATTTTATAATTAATAACTGTGTTATATAATTCAAAAAAATTTTTATTTTAAAGAACTTTTTTATTTTATTAATTGTAATGTATAAAGTAATTTTTGTTTATGATTTTCAAAAATAAAAAATAAATAAGTACAATAATGCATTTAAAAAAAATATATTTAATACAATAACATAAATACAATATTTAATACAATATTTTTTTATTTACACCTTTCCAAAAAGATTAAACAAAAAGTTATTATGGTTAACAGTAAGCTATAAAAATTCAAAAAAGGTGAACAAAGTTATAGTAATTGATTGATTATTAATTATGGATTCATTTGTTTTAAAAGTCATTATCATTGAAAATTATTTGGAAATTACATACGTAATACGTTAATATATTTAATTTCTTTTAATTAAAGATTTTTGTTTAGTGAGTAATAAATAAATTGAGAGGAAAAAGCTTAAAATTTTAATTTTAATTTAAGTTATTTGTTAAAAACAAAAGTAATATCTTAAACAGAAGTATAATAAAATTTTCCAATTGACTAAAGTATAAACAGTAAAAAACCCGCCTAAAAAGTTTTATATCTATGGCCACGTCGTAGCATTTCGCGCCTTGAAATTGGCCTCCAATGGCAACCATTTTTTTTATTTTACATTTTTTTTTATCGTAAGTTTGATTGCTATTTTTAATTTTTTTAAAATTATAATTTAAAAAATATTATTATTTATTAATTTTAAATGTTTTTCGGTAAATAAAAAATTTAATAAACGTTCAAATTAAAATTTAAAAAAGAACTATTTTTTTAAGCGGAAGAATTTCGGATTCCCGCGAAAATTTTGATGTTCTTTAAACCAGTTAAGCAGAAATCAATTAGACCCAGCCCAGTAAGTGGCTTGATCTACTTTAGTTTTTAAAATTGAAAGTTTTGTTATAATTTAGCTAAAATATATTTAAAAATGGAATTAGAAGAGGAAGATCAAGTTACTTATGAAAGACATCATAAATTGTGCACTTCTTTAAATATGGATAAAGCAGCTGCTGACGATGCTTGGAAAAGTTACTTAGGAATGAAGCAAAATTATACTCTAGAGGTAAAAAGCAAAACATTTTAAGTAAAAATCAATTAATTTTTGTCAATTTCAAAAAGATAGTAAATGCAATATCGTTAGAACAAATGGTTATAGTAAAGACAATTTACTATAGGTGTAATTCTTTGAATTTACCGTCAAGTCTGTGTAAACAATCATCACAAATTACCAAATTAATCTACATTTCAAATGTTTGTTTTTCATTGACAATAATTCACTAAAATAAATATACAAATAAAATTTTTAATTTTACGGTTTTATTAGTTTATTTGTTTATTTGTTTTAGGGAGATCAGTTACACTGGCTTTGTTGTGCACTTTATGTTGCTTGTAGAAGATCTCAAACTCCTACTTTAGGAAATCCTCCTATTTTTATAGAAGGAAATTTAGTAAGTCTTACAAGACTTTTAAGGCAGTGCAATTTAAGCCTTATTCAATTCTTTAAAAAATGTAAAAAATGGGCAGATATGGCTAATTTGCCAAAAGAATTTCGTTCTAAATTTGACCATTTGGAAAGGAAATATGAAGTTTCCAAAGTTATTTTTATTAGATATAAACAAATGTTTCTCGATATTTTTAATGAGCCGACTCCAGAAATATATCAACATAAGTCTAAAAAACCTAGGTAAGTTTCATATTTAAAAAAATTTAATGTATTAGTAAACATATTCAAAAATTACACTTTAAAATTAATTGTTTTAAATTTTTTACTTGTACGTATAAAAATTTTTTTTTTTAATATTTTAAATAATTTTCTTTTTGCAGAAATTTTCCATGTTCTAGTTCTAGACTTTTTAATTTTTGTTGGACACTATATATAACTATTAAAGGAAGTTTTACTGCTGTCGCTGTAGATCTTGTTAGTTCTTATCACTTGCTTTTAGCCTGCTGTGATTTGATGTACTCTAATGCATTATTGGCAAATCGAAAAGACTTACTTAATCCAAAATTTGAAGGTAATAGTAACATTTATTATTATTCTTATTATTGGGGTGTTTTTAATTTTTATTATTATATGAAGTCCATAAATACAAAATACTCTTGCTTAATTTTTTGATTTTGTTTAATGTACATTTTGATTAATATAATTGAATCACATATAAAAAATTCGAATTACAGAATCGAAATTATTAAAAATATTTTTTTTAATACAAATAATAAACATTATTTTTATGAAGCTAAACAAAATTGCTAAGAGAAAATAAATTTAAGTTAATTTTGTAAATTTTTGAACTGTACAAAAACTGTTTAAATCATCTTTAAAAATTGTAAATTTATCTTTTAGTTTTATTTTTATTATATTAATAATTAATTATTTATTACTTCATTTTCAGAACTAAATTAATAAAAAATAATTTTTGACTTCTAAAAAAAAAAAAAATTTATACTACTTTAATAATTGACGTGAAATACATATTTTATAAATGTTCATTTTATTATTTATGATAAAGTTTTGTTTCAAAATGAACATTATTATTAGGTACCGAAATTAATCATAAAAATTTAAATTTAAAATTTAACAAAAATTCAGCTAGGTATTTTAATTATTTCATAATGTTTTCTGAAAGTGAATATTTGAATGTATTTAAAATAAAAAAAAAAAAAATGAAAACGATACATACATATTTTTTTTAAATAAAAATTTTTCTCCAAAAGTCCGATGATAAAAAGTTGATAAAAAGTTGCCGATGAAATAAGAAATTTTTCAATAATTACATCTTCTTTTTCTCCAATAAATAAGCTCAGTATTTTATTCGATTTTTTGTTTTTCTTTTGTTATTTTTTTTAATGTCAAATTTCAAATTTTTGTTTTAATGGAATAAGAGAAGAATTCAACATATATATTTATGACACATCAATAAGGAAACTTTGAAAAAAAAGACTGTGAATAGTTTAAAAATAAATTAATTAAAAAATACGAATTCTAATTTGTATTTTTAACTTCTTAAACGTTTCATATAAAAAAAAAAAAAAATTTTTTTTTTAGGTTTACCTTCGGATTTCAATAGTCCTAATTATTCTCCACCTGCTGAAGCCAACAGTATAATTGATGTATTATGTAAAAAACATGATGGCATTTCTGTCGAGCAAAAAGTGTCAAAGATATGTTGGAAAATCACGTTAATGAAATATTTGAAAAAAGATTTTAAAAGGGAATGCTGATGCGGGATTTACAAGTTTATTAGATCCTCTTTATTTTGAATCTAATTTTAAAGAAATTAATAAAGTTTATGATAAATACACGTTAAGCGTTGGGGAATTTGACGAAAGAATTTTCTTAAGTAAGTAATTGCATTTATTTGCTTAGCAAAAAGTTATTATGTAAAAAATTTAGGATGTATTTTAATAATAATTTTTGTTTATTGTTATAGGCGATGAAGCTAATGAAGATATTGGAACATTAGATAACATGGATGGTGACGAAGGGAAAAAAAATTCTCAATCCGAATCTGTGAGTGTAAGTAATTAATTAATTAATTAATTAAATTTATTTACGTTTTTTTAAATTATCGAATTGTATCACGTGAAATTTTATATATTCTTTATATAATTATTTTTAGTAGGTTTGATTTTAAACCTAAAATAAATATTTGTACTTTTTTATAGAAGTCATTAGCTCCGCCTAGTCCATTGACCGGTAAAAAATGGTTAAAAAATGATGAAAGGGAAACTAGCACTAGTCAAAATACGGCTCTTTCAACGGCAACCCAAGCAATTAATCGTCTTAAAACTATTTTAGAAGGAAGACAGGCTCATCCAAGTGAAAAACTCTACGAAATATACGCGTAATTATTTTTGTGATCGATTTTTAAAAAAAAAATTTTTTTTTTTTTTTCTCACTTATTTCAATTATTTAAAAAAAAAAAAAATTAATTATTAATTATTTTAAAACAGGACTTGTGAAGAAAATCCGGAAGAAAAAATTGATTTTATTGTAAATGAACTGGGTAAAAAATTTGGAGAGGCGTACAATCAGCCAAACGATCACACACCCGCCATTATATTTTACGATGATAAACTTGTTTTAGCAAAAAAATTATTTTATAAGTTGTTAGAAAATATATTGCTGTATGAAAAAAAAATAAAACCTGACGTTAATTTAAATGTAAGGAGGTTTGTTTGTAACGTTCAAAAAATTTGTTTTCCGGTAATTTTAAAATTTAACAAGTTTTTTTTTTTTTTTTTTTTAATTTTAAAATAGTAATATTAAGTCAGAATATAGTACACCAGTGTCTTTTTGCTTGTTCGTTGGAAATTATTATTTATACTTATAATTCTCAAAAATCATTTCCGTGGATATTGAATGCTCTCAACATTGAATCATATTATTTTTACAAAGTTATTGAAATGGTTCTTCGAACTGAGGATCAATTACCTAGAGTTATTGTTAAATATTTAAGCATGGTTGGTAGCTCTAGCACTCTAAAAACTTGATTTTTGAATAAAACAATTAACGACAATGTCGTAAGAAAGCATATTTTGTTTTTATACAGGTTGAAGAAAATATATTAGAAACTTTGGTCTGGCAAAATAGTAGCCCGTTATGGATAGCTCTTAAAAATGAATCGACAACTATACCAAAATGCGAAGATGTACTTTTACCATCACAAATCATGGATGAAAGTCATTCGCAAAATAATTATGTTTTAAATGCTTCTGTTCAAAAAATTCCTAATACTAGTAAGTTAATATTTTTTAGTTTTCGTAATTTGTTGTTCGTTTTTATTAAATTTTATTTTTACAAAATTTATTTCAGATCCTTCTCCCGGAGCAACTTTATCGGAACGATTCAATTCTCCCATTGTAACCAGGCAAGGAGAATCTAACATGAGAGTTCTTAGGCCGGGACAATCCGTCCTGCAAAATAATTATAGTAAGTTCTTAAAACATTCCTGCAAACGAAAATAATTTAATTGTGAATAAAAATGATGATTTACCAAAAAGCCTGTTAATTAATAAGTGAAATTAGGAATTTCAGGGTAAGAATTTTGTGTAAGATAAATTTAAGTATTTGAATGGTTGAATGAATGAGTGAATGAATGAATGAATTAATCGGAGAGTCCGAAATATTACAAGTACTTTGCGGATATCGAAGTGCATCTGAGGCTGATATGCCTATGATTAAAATCGGGAAAACTCTCAAGTTGAATGTTGTGTAAATGATGGTTTGGTTATGTGAAACTGATTTTTGCTAAAAAAAAAAAAGAAAAAACGATTTTTCCTAATTTAACCGTTTTTCCTATATTTATAGTCTTGATTATTTTTTAAAAGTTAGTTTTTATGTTTTATTTTTCGTAGGTAATTTTTCTTTTTAAAAATTTTTTTATTTAGGTTTGTATTTTTGATAATTTAATTTTAGTTTATTTTTATTTCCTTTTAGTATTTTTTTTTTTTTTTTTTTTTAACATAATGTTTTTTTTAAATTTTGTTTTAGTTTAGGTTTTTTTTTTTTTGTTTTCATAGGGTAATATCACTTTGAATTAACATGGCTTTTATTACATTTTATCATACATAAATCGTAGAAATATATGTATACGTATATTTTGAGGAATTTGCTGAAAAAATGAAAATATCTGATTCATTGATATGTTTATTAAAAAAAAGAAATCACCGCAGTTGGTTTTTAAAAATTTTTAATTTAATTTTTTGTTTTTTTTTTTTAGTTGGAGCGAAAAACAGCGTGACAAGATGTAATCCTTTGAAAGAAGAATTGGTTGAGGAAAAACCAAAACGAACTGGGTCACTTAGTATTTTTTTTAGAAAGGTATTGTTATTTTTATTATTTTTCTTTCCCACTAAATATCAAAATCGTGGTTTTTATTATTATTATTTTTTTATAAATAATTATTGATATAATTTTTTTTTTTTTTTTTAGTTTTATAGTCTATCATCGGTACGAATGCAAGATTTGTGTGTGAAATTAGGTATAAAAGATATAAGTTTAATGAAAAAAATTTGGACATGTTTCGAACATTGCATCGTTCATCATATCGAATTAATGCAAGATCGACATTTGGATCAAATATTAATGTGCTCTATTTATGTTATATGCAAAGTGGCTCATACCGATGTAAGTTTCTTTTTTTTTTTTATATATTTGTTGGCCTTGTCTTAGACACTAATCTATTATTATTATTATCATTTTTATTTTTTTTTCAAGTTTGAACCAACGGAAAGGTCGTTTATGGAAATAATGAAATGCTACAGATTTCAACCTCAGGCAGCATCGCATGTCTACAGAAGTGTTTTATTATCAAAGACTGCTTTAGGTAAGTTTTTTAAACGTTATTATTATCAGGTTAACAATTTTTTAACTTTACAAAATAAATTTTATAGGTAATAATGAAAATTCCAACAAAGGAAATGGTATATCAAGTGTTCCTTTAACTCCTAATAATTTAGCTGGTACGTCAACCTCTTACGATAATCAAGAGAGAGGAGATTTAATTAAATTTTATAATTCTGTTTATGTTGCGACTGTACAAAGTTTCGTCAATAGGTTTCGCTCTAATCAGGTTGACTAATTATTTTAGCATTTATTAGTTATTTTTTTGTCACATAATAATGATAATGACAATCGTTTCTTTTTCTTTTCTTTTTTTTTTTTTTGTGTAGCAATCCGACGTTAGCCTTCAACTTCTTTCCCCTATCCCCAAAGGTAGATCAACTTCTAAATCACCGATGAGAAGAGTATCACAAAAACATCCAGTATTCATTGTTTCGCAGAAACATTCTGTTTACGTTCGACCGTTAGACACTTCGTTTAATTTGTCGTCCGGATCCCAGGCATTAACTTATTGCGTAAATCGCAGTCCGGCTAAGGTAGTTTTAAAATAAAATTTAAATTTTGTTCCGAAAAAGTTTATCTCTTAATAAGATATTTAAACAAGTTTTTTTTTTTTTTTTTGTTACATTCATTGAAATTTATTTCAGGATCTAAGGGCAATCAACGATATGATAAATGATAGTGGAATAATGGTAAAAAGGAATTTGACAGATTTTACGGATGGAGTAACCACGGGAATATCACGGAATGTCAATTCGAGTAAACGAAGAATTCAAAATGTTATAGACGATCGTCGAGGTGAAAGTCTATAAAAATTTAGTTTAAAAAAAAAAAAAAAAAAAATTATTTCACTTACTGTACATTATTTTCTGTTTATAAATATTGATTATTTTTCTCGCCGCCATATTTTTAACTTTAAAGTCTTTTCTCGTTTACAAATGTTTTCAAATTTACATAATAATTTAAAAAATTTATTACAAAAAAGTAAAAGATTCGTACTTGGAACACAAAAATTTATTTTTTTTTTCAAAATTCGACTATTATTTATTATTAGACTGATGAAAGTGCAATAGGAAAAGAATAGAAAAAGAAAACCTGAATCTTATTTTTTGGTGCGTTTTAACACTATAATCTTCTGAAAAACTTTCTGTATATCAATATACTATAAATATATTGATTAGTATGAATATTTACTATTAAAGTAATTATATTAGTAATAAAAAAAATTTGTAGCCGAACAAATAAATAAAAATTAGGGTTATTATTGTTATTTTAATTTAAAAATAATTAATTATCATTTATTTTTAATTAAACACGTGTAGCACACATTAATTGCACCATTTATAAATTATATATATATATTTTCCATGAATTATTAACATTACAGTTTTTTTTAATGTTTTAAACAAAAATTATTACAATTTTTTTTAAAGTAAAAGTAAAATTTTGATGATAATAATAATAAAATGCAATTTTTTAACATGAAAAATTTATTAAATAAAATTTATCAGAGTAAAATAAAATGAGTTCTAATAAAAAATCTACTGATAGGTTTTTAAATAATTTTGGTGTACCTTTTTTTTTTTTTTATTTATTGACTTCAGTAGTCTTAATTTTTTTTGTACCTTGACTGCATTATTGCTATTTAAAAAAAAAAAAATTATTTAAAATTATAACATAATAATAAAAAAAAAATTTTGAATTAATTTAAATAATTAATGAATTAATTATTGTTAGATAACAAAAAAAAAATTTTTTATTAAATGATATCTGTTTATTATTATTATTATTTATATTCGTGATTTTTTTTTCAATATGTTCAATACTGGAAAGGAGAAGAAGAAAAACAAAAAAAAACTTTTTTAAAATTTATTATTATTATTATTATTATTATTATTATTCATAAATAAAATTCATGAAAAAAATTTTTGATGAAATTATAAAAAATTTAAATTTTTAAATGTTTTTTTCGATTTGATTTGTAAATAAAATCCATCGCATATTATTATTATTATTATTATTTTTTGTAACTTTAGTGCTGTTTTCTAATGAATTGTTCTTTTTGGCATATATATTAGTTGTTAATAATTTGTAATTTCATATTATTATTATTATTATTATTATATGGTAAATGAATTAAAAATAAATTTTTTTTAAAAAATAATATTAAAATGAAATAAATATTATTATTATTATTATTATTATTATTGGACTGAAAAGGAATATAAAAAAAAATTTTTTTTTTTTTTTTAAAATGACAGTACTAAATTATTTAGATAATAGTATTTGAATTTTCCGAATTTTTTTTTTTTTTTTTTAACTATTTTTTTTTAATTTTAGTACGGATTAGTTTTTATTAATTTTAAATTTTATTTTTATTTTTTTTTTTGATTTGTTAAATAATTTTACAACAAAATAAATAAATAAATAAATAAAACTAATCCGTTCTCTGATAAATTTTTAACATCTACTAATGTATTTTGTTTTGTTTATATTTTTGTTTTTCGTTTTTTTTTTTTTTTTTAATTTTAATTAATAAATTAGGATATAATATAAATAATTATGTCGTCGAAATTTTTTTTTTAAATTTTAATACATTTATTATAAATAATTAAGATAGGCTTTTGCCTTAAATATTACAAAAACTAATTGAAAATAAAAATTAAATTATTTTTTTCTCATTTTTAATTTTTATAATTTATTATTATTATTATATAAAAAAAATACATATATAAATTACAAATAGGTAAAAGTAAATAAAATTTTACAATAATAATAATTGTATTAATATTATAATATTTAATAATTTTATAAATTTAAACATTCTATAACTACATCTTTACTTTTACCGCCATTTTTTTTATATTCAGAATAAATCCACACAAATAATTTTATATAAAAAAATTTTGGAATTTTTACACTTAATTGTAATGATTTTGTTATTAATTCTTTTGTATAATTTTTATTTTTATCACTTATGTAAATATTATATTCTAAATTATGTTTATCGAATATGTTAAAAGGGGATTCCCATTTTATATTTAAAGACCCGTTAGTTGTAAAAAATTGACAAATGGCATTTTGAACGATACTTGGATAAAACCATTTATTATGTATGATTTCATAATCGTTTTTATATTTATTATTTACGTGATGAAAAAATGATTTTTGAAAAAATTTAAAAAAATCATGGCTTACCCAAGTATCTTGGTACATGTGATATAAATAATTTGGATCGTTGCAACAAATAACGGCGGGTACTTTTTGAGTATTTTTTATTTTTTCTTGTTCTATCATATTTAAATGTTTTATTCCTCCTAATAATGGATGAGCATTTGGATGTGGTACTGAATTATTTTTAAATTTATTTTCCCATGAAAAATAAAATAGTTGGTTGTTTTTATATTTTGTGATAGGTTTAATAAAAGATACAATGTCAGATTGAATGGCAAAAGGAAATAATTCGATTATTAAAGAATGTGGTTTCATAAAAATGGTAAAAATCATTTCAGCACCATGCATGCCAATTACTAAATCACAATTCGATAATATTTTAATAAAAAAGGTAAAATTACTGTTAAGTAAATCAATGCACATGACATTTATTTCGTTTTTTCTCAGTAATTTTTTCATAATATTTTTTACCTTTTCTGTAACTTCATTTACATTTAAAATTTTCCTAGTTTTTTCTCTGCTTATTATTACAATGTCTGGGTTTTTAGTCGAGTTTGAATGGACATTAAGTTTGGTTTTGATGTAAGAAGTAAACCTTACAATGTCATGATTGTTTAAAAAAAAATTGTTAACAGGACCATGAGGTTCGTTGAAACCATACTGATACCATATACTATCAAGAATTAATCCAGCATGCATTTCCTCTATGCACAAGATTTGGTTATTATTATGTAAAAGTAGTTGAGGTAATAAAATTGGATTTCCTTTAGAAAATATTTTATACAAGTCGAAAAATGGTCCTGTCGGAAAATTATCGTGAAATATCAGTTTAAAACTTTGCATGCAAACATCATTTTTCATGCATAAAAATTCTAGGGTTAAAAACAAAGGAAATAAATCATCATGAATAACATGCATGATGTTATCAGGTTTAATTCTTGAAATCAAAAATCCTTTTTTTTCAAATATAACTACTTTTTTACTTAAAAAATAATCATAATTTTCCACAACAGTTATATTAGCATAAAATTGATTGTGAAACAGGATAGAGGACAGTTGTATTTTTTGCATAAAATAAATATCTTGAAATCCTTTCAAAACGGAATCCTTTCCCAAAAAAAATAAAAAAGTTTTTAAATCTGAATCGTAGCAAACATTATTGAATTTACACAGATTTACATTATTTTGTTCTTTCACACACCAAACAGAAGATTCATTAAATTTTAATGAAGATAAATACAATGGTTTCTTATTATAATTTACAAAAGGAATCACAAGCAATAAAGACAAAATACAAAAAATAAAAGAATATAAAAAATTACTTAATAACATGTTTAGTTTATATTTCATTTTGAACACAAACAGTTATAATTCTTAAAATTCTTAGATAATTTAGTAATTATTGAAAACAGAATGCAAGCATGTGATTTAGTCAAATACTTTGTAATAACTTGAAAAAAAAACATTAACAAAAAATAAAGTCTTTATTAATTAAAGTCATAAAAATATGTAATGCAAGTACTGGTAATATTATCCACAGGGGTAAAACAATATAAACTGTAGATAGATTTATTGAAGGATATTCTAATTTTAAACACAACATTATTTCAAATGCCAATTTGAGAACAATCATTGTAACTAAATACAGATTCATTGATACATCAACATGTCTATTGAATCTTCTGCTTTTACAAAAAGAAACAGTATCTATAACTGAATAATTTAAAATTATGGCATTAAATATCCAAACAGGAATGAAAACCACAAACCAATTCCACTGCGTGCGATTATCCACTCGTAAAACCAATAAAATTAAAAACACAAGAAGAGTGAACCAAGTAAATAATGCTCTATGAAGAACTGACATTATTTAAAACATTAAATGTATAAAAACTTGAAGAAAAGCACGCATTCAAAAATAATTTCATTGATAAAAACATTTAGTTAATTTAATATCATCTAATTTTTTAATGACATTTTTTTTTTGTAAAAAAAAAAACAAAATAATAATAATGGTAATAATAATTTTAAAAATGAAGTATATAGTCACTAAAATTAAAATTTTTTTATAGTTTCAAACCAAAAAAAAAAAATAAAACGTACAAAAAAATGAAACTAATAAACGAAATCAAAACTTTTTATACTATCCATTGCATTAAGTTGTTAAAACGTGTCAATAGACAAAGCCTTAAATAAAAGGCGGTTTTTTGTTAGAAAATATAAGGTTTAAAATTAATTTTAAAAGCTTTTGTTGAATTTTTTGTGTAAGTTACATTTATTAAACTTTTTATAATTCAATATTCTTGAATATTTGAATATTCAATATTCGTAATTCTACTTGATACGTCTGAAAAATAATTTTAACTTGTTATTTGAAAAAAAAAATTTTTTACCACGATAATTTTATCCTTAATTCAAATATGAAGAATACCGTGTAAAATTTTATAAAACATGTATAAAAATATAAATTAAACGTTTTTTTTTTTTTTAAATAATTAATTAGATAAAACTACATTTGATATTTACAGGAAAAATATGAAAAAATTAAATTTAAAAAAGTAACCGACTAGTGCGCCATCTTTGAAACATAAATTGCATGGAGTACAACGCAGGCGTGAATTAAAACACACCTGTCAACGCCGGCGTCCGTCAGTTAGTGATCCAGTTTAAGAGGAGAGCGTTAAATTTTATTTTCAAAATTTAATTAAATTCAATTTAATTTAAAAAAAAAATGTCTGATAAAGAAGTTAAAACTGATGAAAATCAAGAAAAAGTACCACAAGATGGAGACGTTAAACCAGCCGAAAATGGGGAAGCAACTGAAGATAAAGTCACCGAAAAACCGCCCAAGGAAATGCGTGCAGTCGTGCTAACAAATTTTGGTGGACTCAAATCTGTCAAAATTCTTAAAAAACCTGAACCTACTCTCGCAGCTGGCGAAGTTTTAATTCAAGTTAAAGCATGGTAAGCACTAAATATATATTTAAACCTGAAAACCTTTGATGTATTTTTATTACGTCCCATAAAATCAAAATTTTGTAACAATACTGTAATTTTCCTTTCCCCTTTTTTTTTTTTTACATTGATTATTTCAGTGTAAATTTTTTTGTAATATTCATTATTGTTAAAAACATTATGTTATGAAAAAAAATGGCAATTTATTAAAATTCAAAAATTACGAGTTTGAAATGGTTTTGTTCGGCTATAACATGTTAAAATATATGTTGAAACTTGCCATATGTTATGTTGAAATCATTTTTTTTTTTTTATTAAATAGGTTTATTAAATGTTTTTGCCCCATTGCATCAAAGGAAAAATAATATTAATAAAATAAAAATGAATTTACCTTTTTGTCTTTCATTTGTTGGATTTTGTTAAATTTTGTTAATTTTTTCATTTGTCATGTCTACACTACAATATTGTTTAATAAAGTAATGAAAATTTATTTAAAATAATAATAATAATAATAATTAATATTTTAAACATTTAAATTTGTTACAAATATTGAAAATTTCACAAAAAAAAAAAATTTTTTTTGAAATAATTGTTTTAATTTTCATAACACATTTGTACTTTTTTTATTATTATTATTATTTTACAATGGCTTTTTGGATATTTATAGAAGAAAAAATAATAATAATAAATTGGGAAAAATTAAGGAAAATTTTACTGCTTGGTTGGAGGGGGGAAAAATTACCGGATACGACAGGCATGTACCTGTGGTAAATTCACAGTTAATAATTTTAAATAAAATAAATTTTTTTTTTTTTTTCTTATTTAAAAATAAATAAGTGAAATAAAACTTGACTTTTAGAATAAAATATTATATTTTAATATTCCAAAATTATTAAATTCTTCTTCTTTTTTTTTCTTTTTGTCATTGGTTAATAAATCAATTAATTGTAAAAAAAAAAAAAATTAATTAAGAAAATTCTTTACAACTATTAACTTTTTTCTCTCTCTCTCTCTTTATTAAGGTTACCATAGCTGAGAGTAAAATTTTTCATAACTTGAGTGTCTTTTTCTTCAAACTTTGTTTAGAGAGAGAGAGAGAGAGAGAGAGAGAGAGAGAGAGAGAGAGAGAGAGAGAGAGAGAGAGAGAAGAAAATTACTTCAAAACTTTAAAAAAAAAAAAGAATATGATGATAAATTTTTAAAAGTGTTTTTTATTATTAAAATGTAATTAATTATTTTTTTTTTAATACTATTATTATTATTATTATTATATTTATCATTACGTATTATTAAAATTTATTTATTTTTATACTTTGTTTACAGCGGTTTAAATTTTCAAGATCTTATGGTACGAGTGGGAGCCATTGATGCACCCCCAAAAACTCCATTTATTTTGGGCTTGGAATGTGCGGGGCAAATAATCGAAGTGGGAGAAAATGTCGAAGGATTTCAGGTGAGTAATAATAATAATAATAATAATAATAATAATAATAATAATAATAATAATAATAATAATAATAATTTTTTTCTTTTTTTCTTTTTTTTTTTTTATTAAATTGTTAATTGACTCATTTGAAACAATCAAAAAAAAATCCCATTTCCTTATAACGGTCGGGGAGAGGGAGAGGGGAGAAAAGAACACTCATTTGATTAATTCGGGGAAGGGGGGAGAGGAGGGGAGAAAAAAAAAATCTCGTGCTCGAGTTTTCAAAATGTTGTAATTAAAAATCAACCGAAAGTGAAATTGAGCTTAATTAAAAAAAAAAAAAAAATTTTTTTAAAGTTAATATTTAACATTCTTGATTATATACAAAATCACGTGATTCGAAAAAAATAAATTAATAATTTATTTTTAGTTTTTGTATGAATTTGAATGAAGATGGGGGGGGGGTAGTTTTTACCTTACATGAACTTTAAAAGTAGAAAAAAGCAGCAGAATAGTTTGTTACTTTTTAATTTTAATTAAAAGTTTTTTAAATAAACCAAATTCAAAAGTTTTTTTTGTTGTTGTTGTGGTTGGAAAATGCTTGCGGGGGTGTGTACCTAGAGTAGAGTAGAGTCTACAGATCTACAGCATCAATTTTTATAAAAATTGAAACGTTTCAGAAATGAATTTTATTTATTTATTTTCCCACTCATTCTCGTATCTTTTATGTAATGAAATCAATATTAATAATATGTCACGTGTAATTTATTATTAATAATTAACAATCGATATAAAGCAAAACTTTAAGAGATGATGATGATGATGGTGGTGACGAAAGGTAAAGTTTTATGCATAATTCTTTTTCTTTTCTTTTCTTTTCTTTTCTTTTTTTTCCCATTTGAATCGATAATGGTGATGATGATGAATCATTCAACGAGAGCTATGACACATCACATAAGGCTTTATTACATAATTTTATTTTTTTTTTAGCATAATCAATAAAACGAACACGATTTAATTTTTAATAATCAAAACATAAATAATAATATTTTTTGATTTTTTTTTTTTTTTAAATTGAGTGTTGTTTGTTTCAAAAAAACTGTTAAGTTGTTTTTTTTTTTTTTTTTTTTAAATAAGATCGTAAAAAATATAAAATTTATATTTTTTTTTTGTGTTTGAGAGCGTCATCATTACTAATTGCTTTTATGTCTGAATGCTTTTATTACTCCGAAGAAATTGATGCAGTCATTGGCCTTTATAACGTTACTTTTATACACATGGAGTGAAAAATTTTCTCTCTTCTTTGATTAATAATGCAAAAAAAAAAAAATTATTATTATTATTATTTATTATAAAAGTAAAAGAGAGATAGAGAGAGAGAGAGAGAGAGTGAAAAATTAATCATGGAAAGTCAACTTTAATTTTTTTAAATTACCGAAAGTAAAATGAGATTTTCTCTCTCTCTCTCTCTCAAACTTGCTCCAGGCATTTTTTTTTTTTATCCTTATTTTTTGCCACTCGTGCGTTAAACGCATGGAGAAAATTATTTCGGTCATTTTTGAATTTACGGAGAGAATAAATAAAATGATTGAAAATTTTCCAGGTTGGAGATCGCGTGGTTGCTTTACCTGAATATCGTGCGTGGGCGGAAGTGGTAGCTGTACCGGCCAAATACGTTTTCAAAATTCCAAATGAAATGTCTTTTGCGGATGCGGCAGCCATAACGATGAATTACATAGTAGCTTACATATTGGTTTTCGAATTGGGAAATATAAAGCCGGGGAAAAAAGTTCTTTTGCATTCGGCCGGAGGAGCCGTGGTAAGTTTTTTTTTTTTTTTTTTTTACCAATTATCCCAATTATTAATAATTAAAAAAAAAATTGATTCAAAGTTATTGATCGGAACGAAGAGTTTAATAAGTTGCAAAAATTAACGATAAATAACTTTAGTTAAAATTAATAATAATAATAATAATAATAATATACAAATCGGACAAGTATATTATATTTGTCGAAAGGTTTTTTAGCTCATGACGTAAGCAATTGACTTCTTTTTGGTTTAGCGCCATTTTTTGCATTTAAAAAAAAAATGTCGATTAGTTAATTATATTTAAAATGATAATAATAATCGAATTCACTTCCCTACAACTTTTTTTTCTCGAACGGTTAAGTGGAAAAAAAAGAAAAAAAATTGGTTGGCCAGGATTTTTAGTTTTTTTTTTTTTTTTCTTTTTTTTTTTTACATTTGAGCCCACATTTAGTTTTTCCATTTGAAAATTGATAACGAAGCTTTTCGAAGGAAAAGTTAAGAAAGAGAAAGAGAAAGAGAGAGATAGAGAGATACGGTGATAATATTGTAAGTGTTTTAAAATTGTTCAAATAGGTTTTCTATTTATTTGACTATTTTTTTTTTGTTAACTTTTCTGTTTAAAAATGTGCTTTAGGTAGGTTTTTTATATGCTTGGAAATAATATTGTTTTGCTTTTATGGTTTTAATATTATTAGTTTTTTTCTTCCCCCCCCCCCTTCAAAAAAATTTTTTTTTTTTTTTCGAAATAATAACCGAAAAAGCACGTTAGGTTTTGGACCATTTAAATAATTTTTCCTACCCTTTCTAACCATTTAACGGTTTCACTTAAAGTAGGCCAATAAATCAAGTCACGTTTTTTTAAACCCTTTTTTTTTTCTATTTTTTGAATATTGTTTAGGTTTTTATAATTGCTGCTGATGTTGCATTTGATGATGAATACCTGCTTATTTATTATTAATCATCATCATTATTAATTTTTTTATAAATTAATGTAACCGGTTTTTAAATAAATATTTGACCCCCTCCCTCCTCTCTTGTTATTATTCACTAATGTCACACGTTCGTTTATTTATTCAAGACTAGTATTTATTTATTTATTTTATTTTTTTGTCTCTCCAGGTCCTTGTTTTTTTTTCTTCTTTGTATTTATTATATTTAAAATAAGTAACAAAGTGTTGAAAAAAATTGTAAGAAGGTCTTTTCAAAAAAAAAAAATTCGTTCTGACTCAGCATTCGTAGTAATTCAACGAAAAAAAATATTTACATTTAAAAATTATAAATGATTACTCATTATTATCATCATTCAATGCCAACAAACCGCATGAGTTTCACTCGCTAATGGTGGGCGAGGGTAACAAAACAAAAAAATAAATATATAAATATATATAAATTTAGAATGTATAGTTAGGTAGTTAGTTAGTTAAATTAAAAATAATTTTTTTTTTTTCATTTAAAATAATAATAATAGTAATTGTTGTTGTTCGTGTGTCATTCATTCATTCATCTTTAAAACAAAAAACGATTTTTTTTTTTTAACGTAAAAAATTTTTTCATGGATTATTATTATTATTATTATTATTATTATTATTATTATTATTATTATTATTATTATTATTATTATTATTATTATTAATATTATTTTTATGAGTTCGTAATATGAATTTTTTATTTAAAATCATCAGTTTTGTATTATTACGTCATTAGACAACATGGAGGAAGCAGGGTCATTGTTGATATGCGAGTTTTTTTTTTTTTTTTTTTGTTTTCCGTGAATCATATTTAAAATAATAAACATGTTTTAACAATTAGCCTAAAATAGCCTAAACCTGACAATGCCCTGTCACAAACCTACTTATTTGATAACAACAACAACAACAATCATAAATTTAGGGGGGTAAATTTTTAACATTGATTATAACTCGTATGAGTTCCGCAGGGGGGGGGGGAAAGTTTTAAGGTATAATGGATAAATAACATTTTTTGTTTTAAATATTTTTTGAATAAGAGGAAAACGATAGAATATTCGAGACTACGAGACCCACTAAAAAAAAAAAAAAAACAAATTTTGATAACGCTCGTGATAATAGATCATTAAAAAATTAATAAATATTTTTTTTATTATCCATAATTAAATTTTTTTATAATTAACTAATTTACACGTTGAGGGGGACCCCCCAAAATCAATAAAATGACTACATCGACCAATACTAATTAGTTTTTTTTATTTACTGAAAATTCCTATTATTTGGTAAATATAACCGAGAGAGATAATTATTGTTTTTTCTTATATAAAAATAATTTTTTTTTTTTTCATTAATTAAATGTATTACAGTAAATAATAACGTGATAATAATAATAATAATAATAATAATAATAATAATAATAATAATAATAATAATAATAATAATAATAATAATAATAATAAAGGAGTAATCCAAATGCTGTAAATTTTTCGGCTTTTTTTTTATTACGGTGAAAAATAATTTAAATTTAATAAATAATTAAATAAAGTTTATTTTAAATATAATTACTAATTGGTGTGAACAAACAACAACAACAACAACAACAACATTGTTAAAAATAGGAAAATAAATTATTTTATTTAATTATGTTGTAAAAACATTGTTTTTATTTATTTTATTTGTTTAATTATCAATTTTGTTTTTTAAACAATTTTTAAAGTCGTTGGATTTTTTTTTTTAAAATTTGTTTTTAATCTTTTACCAAATTCAAATTATTATAGATACATAAATATATATATATATATATATATATATATATATATATATATATATATATATATATATATTGATTGCTTGCATGTTATTTATTAACCCTTTTATTAGAAATAAATAATGCGTGCCGGAATAAATAGTTTATGATAAAAATTGATTTTTTATATAATTAAATTAAATTTTATATAAATTAATTATAGTAGAATAATTTTTTTTTTTTTTTTTTTACATACACACACATCAAAATTTAGAAAAGCTTGATTGAATTTTTTTTAGCGGTCCCTCATTTTAATTTTTTTTTTTATTAATAATTGATGGATATTGAAGTAGAGAAAATATATATAAATTCGAATTAGAAAAAAAAAAAAGTTTATTATAATATTTAATAGTTTATTAATAATAAGACATTTTTTTTTTTTTTTGTATAATTTAATTATTTATTTTTTTTACGTATAGGGTCAATCGATTGTGCAACTTTGTCGTACCATTCAAGATGTAAAACTTTTTGGTGTGGCTTCAAAAGGGAAACACGAATCCCTTAAGGATAGCATCGATCATCTTTTGGAAAGAGGAACGGATTATGTCGCCGAAATAAGAAAGTCAGTTTTTAAATTCTTTTAATTCAGCCATTTTGATTCCATTTTGTCCTTTATCATCAAATTTAATTTGAATTTTTCTTTTTAAGGGTGTCACCTGATGGAGTCGATGTCATATTCGATTGTAATTGCGGTGACGAATGTAATCGTGGATACAATTTATTGAGACCCATGGGAAAGTACATACTCTTCGGTTCGTCCAACTACGTTACCGGAGAGACGAAGGGATTGTTTAGCGCTGCCAAATCGGTAGGTATTTGTGAATTATTCCAACAAAAAGGAAAATTTTACTCTATCATAATAATAATAATAATTTTACAGTGGTGGCAAGTAGGGAAAACGTCTCCGATAAAATTATTTTACGAAAATAAAAATCTCGGAGGATTGAACTTGCGTCATCTTTTGTACCAGCAAGATGGAGCGTCTTACGTTGCGGAAATCGCTCAAAAAGTTTTCGATTTGTGGAAGGAAAATAAAATTAAACCCGTCGTCGATTCGACTTGGGCATTGGAAGATGTAAGAAAAACGTCAATTTATTATCTTTTGCTGTTAAAAAAAAAAGGAAAGACCGGAAAATGTAGACGGAAAACTTTAATAAGAAAAAAAATTAGGAAATCATTTTCCTCACACGGATCTTTTAAGTAAAAGTAATTTTTTTTTTTTTTCTCTCTCCTTTTTTAGGTTTCGGAAGCCATGCAAAAACTTCACGATCGCAAAAACGTTGGTAAACTTCTTTTAGATCCGGCAATGGAGCCAAAGCCGAAACCTGCTACTCCTCTCAAAGGAAAAAAAGGAAATTCTATTGAAAAAGAAGAAAAAAAGAAAGAAGATGAGGGAGTGAACGGAGTTGCCGAGCAGCAATCTCAAGGTATTTAATATAACATACCTGGATTTAGAATTTTTTTTAAGTTTTGTGTTTTTTCCTTTAAAAAAAAGGGTCTGGGTTTCAAAATGTTTAATTTTTTTTGTTTACAGGGGATGGAAAAGAAAACAACAGCAGTTGAACAAATTATTAAAAAATATATTTTTTATTTTTATTTCAATTTATAATTGTGTCAGCATGTGTGAATATATACATATATATTTATATATATATAAATATTTATATAAATGGAAATTTTTCTTATTAGGAATTATAATTTAAAAGCAAACAACACGTTTTTGTAGGTTCGCTATTTTATGTAAAATTTTTTTATTTTAAAATTTGTATTTTTTTTTTTTTTTTTTAAACGTTATTATCATTATTATTTATATTATTAATTATTATTATTATTATTCATAGCAATTAGATTTTATATTTATTTTTTTTTTTAAATAAAAATATTTATTTGAAAAAAGAAAAAAAAAAAAAAATTTTTTTTGTATATTTAATTTAAATTTTTTTTTTTTTTTTATTGATAATAATATACGAATGAGCTTTTTGATATTTATTAATAATAATAATAATAATTGTTAATTATAAGTTATTAATAATTTATTTTAAAAAAAAAAGAAATGTCTAAATTAAAAATGATTATTAAAAAAAAAAAAAAATATTTTAATACGTAATATTTTTAAATTTTATGTAATTTCATTTAATAATTGCTTGTTTTAAAAATATAAATAAAATCGCTCTCATAAAATAATAATAATAATAATAATAATAATCGGTTTTCTGTGTGTGATATGCATTATTTTTAAAGTTTGAAAAGAAAACCACCAAAAAAAAAAAAGGATTAAAATATTATTATTATTATGATAATAAGAAAATTTATATATATTTAATATTTACATAATTATTATTAAAAGTGTTATTTAAAGCTTGCATAGTTTATTTTATTAGGCAATTATTAAATTAATCATCGAGCACACTTTAAATTAATAAAATATTTTTATTTGTTCCAATAATAATAATAATAATTTATACGTTATTCCACGTACTATTATTATTATTATTATAAAACGGTTTATATTATTTATTATGCTTATTATCAAATTGTTTTATTAAAAAGAAAATTTTAATGCCATAAATGTTATTAAAAAAAAAAAAAAAAATTAAATATTATTCGTCAGCTTAATTAAAAAAAAAAAATTATAATTATACCAAAGTGTTTTTTTATTTATTTTCTGTACTATTAATGTATTATATGTATTCAGGATTTATGTACTTTAAATATTATTATTAATTATTTTGTGGCCAAATAAATAATTTGATGTAAGACTGTATGTATGTAATTTTAAAAAAAAAAAAAAATTTTTTTTTTTATTTAAATTTTTATCCTTTGAATTGTGAGAAAAAATTTTTTTTTTTTTTTTTGTGTGTGTTCCAATAACGAATTTTTTTTTTTTAATTTAAAAATAATTTGATAAAAGTAAAATTTATAAACAAAACAATTTGTTTACAATTAAGTTTTTTAAAAAAAAAAAAAAAAAATTATTATTATTATTTTTTTCAATTTGAAATTTAAAATAATTTTTTTTTTTTTTTTTATCGAATTAAAATAAATTTAATTAATTTTAAATAAAGTTTTGTTCACCTTGTGGTGAAAAATGGAGGTCATAACGAAAAAATCTCAAATTTCAGTTTTTGAGGGAACGTCACGTTCGACAAATTCATCATCTTATTCAAGTGATATGTATAACAGTAGCGATGATTCCGATGATGATGATGATGATGATGATTACAGTGATTCAGATGATTCAGATGATGGCTACGAATATAATATATTACCCGATGATAATGCCATCGTAAACGTTTTGAAAACTCAAGAATATTGTTTTGATTTTACTCATTTTTCAGAAAAACTTATCGATGCAACTTTTTTAGAAGCAACAAAATATTTAACACAATCGAAAAATTATTTTGCTTCCAACGAAGTCATTCAACCCATCATTCACGAAATGCTATCATATTTAAATTACGAACACTCGGATTCGGAATATTCTCATAGTTTCATATTTCCCCAAAATCCTAAACCAAAAGCTAAAAATTGGAAAAATGAAGATTATATCGAATGGCCGAAAATATCTGAATTTAATATTAAATTGGGACTGGAAAAACTGGAAGATTATGTTGCGACTTGGAAAAGACCCTCGGATTGGTTATTTTGCGTTGAATTTTTAGGTTTTGAAAGCGAAGATTGCAGTAATATATTTGTTTATGAGGTTTAATTTTTATTTTTATCATAAAATTTATCCATTAATTTCATTAAATGTTTATTTAAATGTACCTATTGGATTTTTCAGGTTGAATGGAGTAAACCAAGCAATGCCTATCCTATTCCACAAGCTTCGGCTAGCGTTTTTTTTGCTTTAGAAGTATTTAAAATGGTTCCCCACAATCATGATCGCAGAATACAGGTAATTTTAATAAACAACTCCCACTCTAAAAATATTTAAAATTAATAATTGATTAAATAAAAATTTATTTATTTATTTTTTTTTTTTTTTAGGTTTCTTACGTTTTTGAAACTTCTAATGTTATTCATACTCCTGGAAAAGTACCCAATTTTCAAGAAATTTGGTTAAATTCTATTATAAATGCAAAATTAAAGGCATACAAATCCATGACGTTTTCAGTAAGTTTTACAAATTTAATTAAAAATAATAATATTACCTTTTTTTTTTTTTTTTTAAATACTAAAGACAGACAGACACAGTTTTTAATTAGTTTGTACTAAAATAATTAATTAATTAAAGTACAAATTATATTATATTATATTATATAATTAAAGTAAGAAAATTTTAACATGAAAAATAATAATTATTTATCAATAATAACATTCATAATAAATAATTTTACTACTTTATTTACATTAAAGCTTTTAATATAACAATAAATATATTGATTAATTCAAAATTTATTAACAACAAAATAATACATAACTAGATATTTAATTTATTTATTAAATTAATATCACGGTATCACATTAGAATAGAAAATTCATAACAAATAATAACAAAATAATTAAATAATAATAAATTTTAATAACAATTTTTAATTATTTAATTGTTTTTAACATAGAATTATTTATTATTGATCGTGTTTATAAATAATAATAATAATAATAAAGCAATTTTTTAGAAAACACTTTTAATACATTTTAAATAAACTAAAATTATATTTATTTTTTTTTTACTTTGGGAAAAAAAATTATTGCTTAATTGTGACTACGATGTATTATATTTGCACGTAAATTTTAATATTTTATATTTAATATTCCATCTAAAAGAATATTAAAATAATTCAATCTATTTCACGTAGGAAAAAAAATGTAAAAAACTTATATTTACCACGTGTAGGTCAGAAAAAGGAAAAAAATAAATCACTTTAATATTATTACATAAAAGAAGCCAAGATAAAATGTGAAAAATGTGAATTTTTTTTTTAAGAAAAATGTTATCATGTTTCGTCTTCAAACTCGATTCGTTCTTACACAATTGCATTTTTACTAGCTAAGCATTTAATTTTTTTTTATCACGGGTCTTTCAGAGATAAATTTGCAGGCTCCGAAGTAGTTTCATCTCCGTTAGACAGAGTTTTGTCAGGAGATGCGACTTTCGAAGATTGATCCTGTAAATCAATCTTATTCGATGAAGATGATTCCTTTTTTTGAGGAACGTCTGCATTGCGATCCGAAATACTGCATGCTTCATTTACATGTTTATTAAACGTTTCGCTTCTGTCTGCGTACACGTGATGGCCAGCTCCGTTAATCACCTTCATTAAAATATAATTTATTTTTATCGAGTAAAACAATTAAATGATGCCGGGTATTTGAAATAAATAATATCAACTTACGATGACGTTAACGTAAGAATCACTGGATCTTAATTCTTTGATTTTGTCACTCGCGGAACTATCTACCCATGATCTGGCCCCGTAAATTAGAGTAATGGGCACATCTTCCCTTAATAAATTCATTCTATTTATTATTGGATGTTTGGCCCATCCAAAACCGGTCATCATTGCATGAAAAGCACTTTCACCGCTGTAAAATAAAATTTGACAAATAATTTAAAATACTAGAAAAAATTCAAATATTTAGATTGTAATGCACAGGTAGCCTCATACAAGCTAACTATTACATACCTAGGTTTTTGTGCATTGCATTGAAAAATATATTGGGGAATCATTCCTATATCTTCTTGAAGTAAAGGAGCAAATTTTCTAATAATATCAGGTCTAGCTTTTTCAATTAACCACTGACCTAAAAAAAAGAAATTTTTATAGTTAATAAATTATAATATGATCAAGTTTTTAAGTAGTTTCTTTATTATTAAAAACAAAAAAAAGACTTATAAAGCTTTACCTAACGGTCCAGCAGCTCTAACTGTAGACAGAGGGTTAAACGGCTGGAGAATATAAGCTGCTGCTCTTATAAATAAAGAATATTTATATTTTGGAGAGTGCTCATCTGGTTTTTCAGGAAAACCCCATGGATCAGCCAAAATTAAATGTTTAACTCTAAAAAAAAAAATTAAATGAAAACAAATGAAACTAGTAAAAATACTTTAAATTATTATTTTTGTTGCACTTTAATGTGATTTTTATTAAAAAAAAAAAAGTTTTGAGTAAACAAGAACCTGTCAGGATATTTAATAGCATAAGAAGCAGCCAAAAATCCTCCCATACTGTGTCCTAGAAGAATCATTTTTTCTAATTTCATTTCTTTCCTCCAAGCTTCGATTGACCTAACCAACTGCTGCTCAGCTTCCAACCCATCCGAACTGAACAAAGGTCTTGAACTTCTTCCAAATCCTACCACATACAAATAGTAGGCTTAGCTATTATCAGCATAAGATTTAATATGTAAAAATAAATAAGAAGGTGTTTTATTAAAAGATGGAATAATAAAACAATACACACATAACTTAAAATTTACCTAAAACATCAATTGCATAAACTGGTCTAGTTGCTGCAAAAGAGTCTAAATTTAAAACCCACAGTGCAACTCCTGATGCTAATCCATGTAATAATAGTATTGGGGTTTTTTTTGATTCTTCATTCAAAGATAAGGTCCATATTTTATCTGATATGCCAACACTGGGTCCAATATCAACATAACTACCACGATAAGCTGTCTTTAGATCTAAAAGATATTACTTTTTTAACTTTACGGAAACTGACTTTATAGAATTTAAATTCAGATATCATTATTTATTAGCATTATGTTATTACCACTCCAATAAATTATTATTTTTACTGTTATATAAATAAACAAGATTTTAATTTCAAAAAATAATTTTTTTTTTTTTTTTTATAGGTTCCTGAAAATATTTGTCAAAGTTTAAAATTAAATGATCATGAGTCTGGAAAAAGAAAATAAAATTCAAAATTTAAAGTAAGGTTAATAGATAAGTAATTAATTATTTTAACATATAAGTAATACATTAATATTTATAATACATAAAATATATTAAAATATATGTTAATGAAATTAAAACTAGGTAAATGTTTCAAAATTCTTTGAACATAAAAAATAAATATAATAATAATTTTTGTATGTAAACTAAGTCATAAATCATAAATAAACTAACTTGATAAAACTTACATGATAAAATTTTTTTTTCTGCTGATCTTAGCATATCCCCATCAGCTCCAGTCCAATTATAAAGGAACCAAAACCAACTAAAATTTAAAAAAAAAAATGTTGAGAATAATAAAATTACTATTACTATTTTTACTTTTTAGAAAAACTTCATTTAAAGGCTTAATATTGTTACCGTAAAAAAAGTTAATGCGTAAATCTTTCTTTTGATGTTTGTTGTATTAAATGCGAAATATAGTTAATAAATACCTTTTACTTTCTACTGGTTGAAGTGCAACTTCTTCATTTGCCATGTGTTCTTCCTTTGTTTTTTTCTTTACAAAGAAATAAGTAATACCCGATGACAAGTAAGAGCAAGAAGCTTTAATGTATCTAACAAAAACCATACTTATAAAAACAAAAATTGGAAAACACCAGCCAAGAAAGGCTTTAATAAAAATTGTGATTATTGAAAGGATTAGATTATAAATTAGTAGTGACTAAAATTAGCTGTTACTTGAAAACTTACATCTTTATTTGATTGACGCACTACTTACAATTTTGACAAATGATAATTTCAGACGACGGTTCTACCAACATAAAAGTTTTCATTTCCTGTAATGTAGTTTATTTGCAAATAACACTGTACTTTTGCCGCCTTTTTCATTACTTTGTAAGCGTTAAAAAAATAATTGTTTTACTGTGGTTGATTTATAACTTGTATTGAAAATTTGTTGGTTTAGTTTAAAAAATGTCAAATTTGGGAAGTGAGAAAGATATTCGTTCTGGGGATTCAGATGCACCTGATTCTCCTTTAAATAGATCTCAAGGGAATTCCAGCATCAGACATAATGATTCTCAACCACCTACCCCTGGTACTCCTGGTAGAATAAATAGCCTTAGATCTACTCCAACCCATCAGCAAAGAATCAACCAAAGTGATGGCAATATTGTTCCCGACAGTTCTGATGGGATGTCTTCCCCAAAAAGAAATCTTGGAACGAGTCCATATATTGGTGAGTTTAATTTGTAATTCTTAACATTAACCATAAATAAGAAAATGTTATTAATATTGATATTAAAATAAATAAAAAGGACTGAGTGAAATTGATTTGTCATCACCTCTTAATTATGGAACTCCAAGTTCTCTTGGATCAGTCAGAACCCCCAGATCGACCATTCACGAAACTCCTATAAGATTGAGACCAGACTTACGTATGGAAAGAAGAATTAGAACAGTTAATGTTGACTCTGAGCATTATGCAAATAGTGTAAGTAATTATCAAGTTTTTTGTAAATGAATTACTTGTGAAGAAAATGTTTTTACATTAAGAAAATTTTTAGCCTGCAATGAATGGAGAACTACCTTCGACAGAAGAAGACAATAATGGTGATGCACAATTGGTAATTTGGGGAACCGATGTGATTGTGAGTCATTGTAAAAAAAAATTTAAAAAGTTTATCATTTCTTTCATGCAATGTTACACTGACATTGATGAAAGATGCGAAGGAATCAACACAGAAGAACCATTTTATCTCCAAAAATTAAGAGAGGTATTTGTTTATAAATTTACCTGATAAAATTAAACCTTTGTGCATTTAATTAAACTTTTTTTTTTTTTTAATTTTCAGATAAATACTTTAGAAGAACCTTTTTTAAATCTTAATTGTGAACACTTAAAACTATTTGACACCACATTGTACCAGCAATTAGTCAGTTATCCTCAAGAAGTCATTCCTATATTTGATATGACCGTTAATGAAATGTTTTTTGAACGATATCCAGATGCAGTTTTAAAATTTCAAATTCAAGTCAGACCATTCAATGTTCAAAAGACTGATAGTATGAGATCTCTCAATCCTGAAGGTAATTAAAAAAATTTTTTTTTTTAAAAAATATGTAAAGTTATTTTAAGAACATTTTTAACAAAAATTTTTTTTTCAGATGTGGATCAACTCATAACAGTCAGTGGTATGGTGATAAGAACATCAAATGTTAGTCCAGAAATGAGGGAGGCACTTTTTCGTTGTAGTGTATGCGATAAAGAATGCGATGTAGAGATTGATCGAGGACGCATAATTGAACCAAACTATTGTGATTCTTGCAATACAAATTATTCTTTTCAGTTAATTCATAATAGATGTACTTTCACTGATAGACAAATGATTAAACTTCAAGAATCACCAGGTATTGAAATTTAAATTTATTTCGCTTGTATGATAAAATGGAAAAATTAAAAATTTCAATTTTGTTTTTATTTTTTTAGAAAATATGCCTCCTGGTCAAACTCCGCATACCATTATTTTGTTTGCACATAACAATTTGGTGGATTTTGTTCAATCTGGAGATCGTGTCACTGTAACCGGAATTTATAGGGCTTTACCAATTCAAGCTAATCCTAGAATGAGGAATGTTAGGGCTGCTTATAGAACACACGTTGATGTTTTACATTTTCGAAAATTAAGTAAAAAAAGGCTTTATGATTTTAGTGATGGGTTAGTAATTGAATGGTGTTATAAAACAAATTATCTTTAATTTAATTTTTTTGTATTTTTATACTTTTTAAAATTTAAATTCAACAAACAATTTGTGTATTATTTGCTCTATAGAACAATGCATGCTTTTCCACCTGAACGAATGGAAGAAATCAAATTATTATCGGAAAAAGACGATTTATATGAAAGATTGGCTAGAGCTATTGCTCCATCCATATATGAAAACATCGATATAAAAAAAGGAATATTACTTCAGCTTTTCGGTGGCACTAAAAAAGATTTTCAAACTTGTGGTAGAAAAAATTTCAGGTTTGTAATTATACTTAATTTTTAATTTTAATAATAACCTAGAAAGGCGTATTCATTATTTTAAATAATACGTAAAATAAAGATTATGAAAATATTTTTTGTGATTCATTAAATTAAAAAAGTTTTATAATTTTTTTTTTATCAATAGGGCAGACATTAATATTCTTCTTTGTGGTGATCCCGGAACTAGTAAGTCTCAATTGTTACAATATGTATATAATTTATTGCCTCGTAGTCAGTATACATCCGGTAAAGGATCTTCAGCTGTGGGTTTAACTGCTTACGTAACAAAAGATCCTGAAACTAGACAAATCGTCCTACAAACGTTTGTACTTGCTTATAATTATTCTGTTTAAAGTTGTTGTATTGGATCATCTTTGTCTAGTTTAAATTTTTATTTTTTTTGTAGGGGAGCTTTGGTTTTGGCAGATAATGGAGTTTGTTGCATTGACGAATTCGACAAAATGAACGATTCTACCAGAAGTGTTTTACATGAAGTAATGGAACAGCAAACTCTTAGTATAGCAAAAGCTGGTATAATATGTCAGCTGAATGCGAGAACTTCTATATTAGCCGCTGCCAATCCTATAGAATCTCAATGGAATAAAAATAAAACGATAATTGAAAATATAAATCTTCCTCACACTTTAATGTCTAGATTTGATTTAATATTTTTAATTTTGGATCCACAAAATGAAATTTATGATAGACGACTAGCTCGCCATTTGGTTTCATTATATTTTAATCAGACAGAAATTGAAGAAGAACAGTACACGGTAATATTTATTTTAAAATAATCAAACTTATTGAATTATTATTGATGAATAATAATAATAAGAAATTAATTTAAATGTAGTTAATAAGATAAGGTTGAACGAAATGAATTTTTAATGTTATTTATTCAGGATATGTCTCTTCTTCGGGATTATATTGCTTATGCAAAGGAACATGTTTATCCAAAACTAACTTCGGATTCAAAGGACAAATTAATAACTGCTTACGTAGAAATGAGAAAATTAGGGTCGGGAAAAGGACACATTTCAGCTTATCCTCGACAATTAGAATCTTTAATAAGGTTAGCTGAAGCTCACGCAAAAGTGAGATTATCAGAAACGGTTGATGTTCAAGATGTCGAAGAAGCCTACAGGTAAGGCCATTTTTTTTTAAATTTACATAATTGTAAAATTAAATTAATATTACGTTAAATTTTTCAATCAATTAATTGTCTTATTTTTAACGAATGGCATTTCAGACTTCATAGGGAAGCCGTCAAGCAGTCGGCTACTGATCCTTTATCTGGTAAGATAGATGTTGGAATTCTTACAACGGGAATCAGTACAGCAGCCAGGAAAAAGAGAATAGAAGTAGCAGAAGCATTGAAAAAATTAATTGAAAATAGTGCTAAAATTACTCCAACTCTTAATTTAAGCAAATTATTGAATGAATTTCGTCAAACTTCTCAACTTGTGAGTGTTTCTAAAATAATTTTTTTACTTTTTTTTAGTTAAGTCATTTTTTAAATTAAAATAATTTTCCTTGCAGATGATAACGAAAGAAATGTTCGAAGATGCAATTAAAGATTTACAAGATGATAAAATAATAACTATGATAAATAAAAATGCTATAAGGTTTAACAAATAAGGTTATGTAATAAAATTACTTCAAATAATCAATTACCTATGTAATTTTAAAGTTTAAGTACTTATTGTAAAAATTGTTCATTTTTCAAACACGTTTGTCGAATAATTATGTGCCTAATGTCTTTTAATATATTTTTTATAAAATTAAAAAATTCGTTTAAAATAGTTTTTAAATATTGTATTCAAAATTCATCAAAATATTTTAATTATTAAAATTCAAATTTTTTTTTTAAGTAAAACAAATTCAACTTAAGGAGGGAAAAATTATAAGTGCTAAGGTTGTACATCTCGAAATATTCGATATATCGACTATCAGGGCAGAAAACTTCGTCGTTCAAATGTCAAACCCGAAATACCGTAGGCTCCAGTAAATATAAATAAAATTTTCGTTATCTTTTTATAAAGATTTTTTATTTGATGAGATTTAAAATTAAACTTGATTTTTAATTTGTTTCCTTGGATGACAAAAAAGTGCAATATGTAAGTGCCAAGTCGTGAAATGGAAGTTTCTGATATTCTCGCAAGGATTTTTAATCACGAATTTCGTTTAAGAACAGATGATGACAACAAGTGAGTTTCCATAAATTGTACATAAATTTTTAAATGATAAATGTTATATTTTAAAAACATAAACAAATTTTTTTTATTCATATTTAATGCGTTTTATTGAATTTGAGTTTTTTATTCGAATCACATTATAAATTTTTATTTTTAATTTTTTTTTAATGATACATGTTATTAAAAATTTCAATTAACGTATAACTTCAGAATAAAATTCTCGGAGGATTTGAATCGTTGGGTAACAACAAATTTAGACAGCCAAGTACCATGTTTTCTACCTGTAATAGACAATCGAAGTGGAAGAATCGGCCCATCAAACGTTAAATTTGATGTGAGCGCACATTTTGGTCTCTTTATCATAGGCTCAGAAAGATTGAGCGTTCATTCTCAAAGTAACTTTAGTTCTATTCTTTGCAATGTTTGCGTTTATCAAGGTCAATATAAATGATTAGTATAAAATTGTATAAAACTATTTAAATGTGAAATTGCATTACTCTAAATATTATTTTATTTTAGGAAAATGGCAATTCGAAGTGCAATTAGGTACCAAAGGTGTGATGCAAATAGGTTGGGCAACCAGGGGATGTAGATTTTCTCAAGAAACAGGAGTCGGAGATACTTTTGATTCATATGCTTATGATGGAAACAGAATTAGAAAATGGAACAGCTACACTCAAAAATATGGACAACCATGGCTGAGTGGAGATATAATTGGATGTTGCGGTGATTTTGATAAAGGAACTTTAGAATTTTTTAGGTATGTTAAATATAACCTGTCTAATATTTTGCATTAATATTGAATGTAAAAGCAAATTTTAAAATTCAATTTCATTACAGAAATGGAGTTTCAATGGGTGAAGCTTTTGACAATGTACATCTTGGTCCTGGTCGAGCTTACTTTCCTGCAGTAAGTTTAGGTTTTGGAGAGCATCTAACAGCTAACTTTGGAAACACTCCATTTCGTTATCCAGTATCTGGTTATGAACCTCTGCAAATTTATCCGATTCAAGCTGTTGAGAGATGCAATGTAATTTTGGATTGGTTTTACAATCTTCTGAATATAGAAGAAACACATTCCCAGGTTTCTATTTTTCTACTTTTGGCAATTTATTTATGGGTAGAAAATAGGACAAAAATTAATTCAATTTGAATTATATAATTTCATTTTTTATTTTTTCGGCAAAGTAAGTTTTTTTTTTTTTAATCGCTAAAATGCTTTAAATTAAAATTAAGTATTTTTTTTTTTTTTTTTTTGGTACTTTTTTTAGCTAATTTTTAATTTCAGGTAACACCAGATGGTTATCTGTGCAAGGAGCTCAATGCTTCTCCAGATGCATTTTTTTTGACTGTGAGTAAAACTCTAGTCTATGCACTGGCTCCACTTTTGGCCTTGCCTTTTTTGACAGACTCATGTATAATCCCATTCATTGAAAGATTATTGGGAAAAGATGCAGGGGTTATCTTAAGAAGTAATAAGGGAAAATCTATGGGTTCAACCGGAAACCGCGGTCGAGTTGTTAGATGGCTAGATATGCTTTGGGCGTTTTTGGAGGTTGTTTTTTTTATTTAAGTTTATAAACACATTAAAGTGTATAAAGTGTGATTGAAAAAAAATGATAATTATTTGTTTAAGGAAAGAGAGCTAAAACCTTTCTTAGAGAATATTTGTTTACAATTACTGAGTCGATTTCGACATGTGCCCAGTAATTTAGAATATGTTGAGCAAAAAAGAAGTTTGTCACTTTTAAGATCTGTTTGTGAACACTCAAGATCCAGGCAACTTTTACTTAATCACATTTTTTTTGATACTGTAAAGTAAGTTAAGTTTTTTTATTTTTAATTGAAAACTTAAAATTTATTACTAAAAACTTATAATTTTAACCTTTTTTTTAGGCTAGTCGAATTCCTACACGTAAAAATGTTAGATGAATCTGGATTAATAGCAATTATAGAACATCCATGGTGGGATTGTCACGGTACTGATAAAGAGGTCGATGATAGAAAAAAGCCATATTTAAAATCTTGTAATAGAATCTTTGAAGCTGTCTCAAGTAAATAATTTTTTTTGTTTTTTTTTTTTTTTAATTAAAAAAAATTTATTTTTCAAAGAGTTATTAAAATTTTAATTATATAGATTATTTTTAAAAGGGTATTTAGTGTATAAATTACAAAAAAAATTTTTTAGGCGTTGAATCTCTCCAAGTCGATCTTTTAAAATGTTTAATGAATAATACAGATGGTTCCAATCGTCAACCATCTTCAAGAAAAATATTTCTTAAAAGACTTAGAATTTTTTTCCACGATAATTACATGTCTACTAGAGTGAGTTTTTTTTCAGTTAAGTTCATTATTCACCACAATTATTTTTTTTCTTATTATTTATTTATTTTATTACGCGTAATAAAAAAATATTTACAACGAAAATTATTTGTTTTTTTTTTTTTTTTTTAGTCTTTTCACTTGATGCAAACACCTTTACCGGTAACTTTGTGTTGTTTTCATCGACTGCTGGTTATGTTTCGTGAACTGTGGGAAAGTGAAGTTGGTAAACGTCCCGTCATTGTAGAACCCAAAGTTTTTTATGATGGTTCCATCAATTACTACACCGTGGACAGAATAGGGGGTGTTTTATCCCATCTTAACAAAACGTACATTCAGGAGCTTACGGCAGTTTTAGGACCCGATCATAAAGTTGTCAATAAGAAAGTAGTTCAAGAAAATCCTTCGGCAGCAAGAATGATTGCACCTCTCGATATTGGTAATTTAAAAAATGTCGACTGAATAATTTCATTTAATTAAATGCTTTTATATATGATTTTCTTGTTTTTAACTTTATAAAATCTTACAGTCGATGGACAATTTTTACCTGGCTTTCTTGGAGGACCATCGATTGCAATTCGTGTTCCTCCGGAAGCTCAAGGTAATGGGCCTGGAGTTGGATTACCTAGTGTGGTACCTATGCTGGCTAGACTTTTACAACAAGCAAATGGGGGTCCATCGGGTGGCCCCTTTGGTTTCGACGGATCATTAGGGTAAAAATAAATTTTTAATCAAAAATATTTAATTTAAAAACGAACGTGATGCTAATTAATTATTTTATTTTTTTATTCAAGTGTTTTGAGACCAGATAAATCCAGAGTCAGTAATGGATTTGTTGACAATACTCAGTCTCTTATGGAATTACTCGATGGTTTGATATTGTTTTACCACACTTCTGCTCATAAACAAATCGTTAAGGTAATTGCATTTTATTTTTAAATAAAAATTAAATAAAATTTTTTTTGTATATAATATCTTTTTTTTTTTTTTTTTTTTTTTTGTTTAAGGTGAGCGCGATGAGAGACAATATGGAGGATTATGTTACGGCTTACGAAAATGCTCGGACAAGACTCGAATCATTTAAAAACCCATCGAAAGCCATGAGAAGAGAATCTGTTGCCATGATTCAGTCTGAAATTGAAAAAACTCGTCAGGTTTTCGAATCCAAATTAGAAGAGCAAGCTAGATTTATGGCATGGGTGAGAGCGGCCATATTTTCTTCAGAAAAGCAGAGGCAACTTTCGTGGCTCTTAAATGTTTTAGTGAGCACGATAAAAGCATCGTCCAGTGAAGGAGTACTTTTTAGTTTTCTACCAGAATTTTATTTAGATTCTCTTTTCGAAATTTGTTCTGCTTTAAGAGTTTTATTTCATCCGACTTGTTCGCTCGAAGATATCGATGGTAAGTAATTCAAATAATAATAATAATAATAATATTTGATATATTTTCAGATGATTGTGTGCGAATTATGAAAAGTAAAATATAATTTCTTTTTTTTTTTTTTCTTTTCAGGATTCAATCAAATACTGGCACAACTCTCTGAATTTCTTTGCGTTCATTTTGCCGATCCGCGCATCGTCAATGCTTCTTCAAAAGATACCGTCGTTCAAGCTTTGGCAACTTTTGTCGCAAACCCCGTGACTTTACAATCTTTGGAAAAAGTATCTTTCGAAACGCAAAGAAATATGGTCAAAGGATTACTTAGACCTTACGAAAATAGAGCTTGGGCTCAAAGTAATTGGATTTTGGTACGTTTTTGGCAAGGTTACGGTTTTGCTTTTCGATATGAAAAATCCCCACATCTGACTAAAAAAGTCGGTCCGAGATTTCTTCAATCTGATTCGGCAATAATTAATCAATATATAAGTAAGTTACTTATTTTATTATTATTATTATTATTTCACGTAATAATTAACTTTATTGATTTTTTTTTTTTTTTTTTTTTTTCAGAACCTTTACCATCAAAACTATTTCAAAATCATGTTAAAGATGTAATGATAAACAATGAACCAATGGCAACTGTTTTTCTTAATTCCGTACTTAATCAGCTCAATTGGGCTTTTTCAGAATTTATTGGAATGCTTCAGGAAATTCAAAACATTTCATCGAGACCTGAAAGAGTATTTATTGAATCTAGACAATTAAAAATTTGCGCCACTTGTTTTGATTTATCATTATCTCTTTTAAGAGTTTTAGAAATGATTTGTAATATTTCTGTTTGTGTTTTTATCGATCCCGAAAGGCCTAATTCGGAATTGCTCTTGTCGAGACTTTATCAGGTACAAAAAAAAAAAAATAATAATTTTTTTTTTACTTTTATTACTCGTGGAAAAATTTATTATTTATTAAATATTTTTTTTATAGTTGATTTGTCAAATCCTGAATCGAGTGAGCTCCACCACCGGTTGCTTTCAACACGTTGTCCTTTTGGAAATTCCCGATTTAGAGGGCGTGGATCATTTTCCCATTTTAGCTGCCGTAGTCGGAATACTTTTGGCACTTTTTAAAGACGACCTTAAAAATTTTAGAGGTGATTCTAATAAAAAAAATTTATTTTTAAGTAAATTTAAAGGGATATTTTAGAAAATAAATAAAATTTGTGAAATTTCATCGAAATCTTTTCATCGTAGAATCAAATCCGATTTCAAACGTCGCGCATGTTTTACTTACGGAGCCTAGTTTTCAATTATCATCATTGAAATTCTTACTCGGAGATCTTCGGCAACAAGTCGAAAATGGTAAAGGGAAAACATTACCCGTCAAATCTAAAGGATTTTCATTTAGTAATTGTAAGTGTTAGTATAAAAAAGAGTGAGAGAGAAAGAAAAAAAAGAAAATTGTATTATCGAAAGTTTAAATTCCATTTTTAGATCAGGGCGATGTTTCGGATGAAGAATTGAGAGATGTAAGACGATTAATTAATTTACTAGAAGTCGGTCAACGTAAAGTATCAGCAATGAGCCTTCATTCCGATGATGACGTATGCACCATATGTTACGCCAATCCAATATCGGTTGTTTTCGAGCCATGCCGACATCAATCTTGCAAGTAAGGATATCCTAATTTAATTTAGAAAAAAAAAAAAAAAGTTTCCACCCGCGCATATATTAATTAATTTTTTTTTGTTGTTGTTGCAGAGTTTGCATCGCGCATCACTTATTAAACGGTCGAGAATGTTTTTTTTGTAAATCCATGATTGAAAAAGTCGTCGACGTTCACGGAATAGTGGTACACGATTTGGGAAGAATCACCGATGTTTAAAATTATAATTGAATTAATTTAATTTCGAGGGATTTGACAACAATGAAGAAGAAGAAGAAGAAGAAGACGAATAAAAAAACATCTTTATTAAATATTGTTTTGTTTATCTAATTTTTTTTTAGATTTTTTTTTTTTTTTCTATTTTACAGTAATAGCAATTTATAGAATATATATACGAATATACATTTCTTTTATAAACTGACGTATTTTACTTCACGTAATGTTTAAATTCGACGCCGTAATTTATTTATAATAACACAAAGGTACGTATAAATTTAAAATTTTTTTCTTTTTTTTTTTTTTCTTACTAACAAATATGAGATTAGATTATTATTATTATTAACATTTCACCGGGATTTTTAACAAATAAAACAGGAACGCCAAAAAAAAAGGAATTTAGGGATACGTAAATAAAACGAAAGACATTTTATATATATATATATAAAAAAATTCCAACATTATATTAAACATTAGGTTATTAAATAATTTTCATTTAAACTAATTGATCTAATAAATAAATAATTAAAAAAATAAATTTTATTTTATTAATTAAACAGTCTTATGTATTTAGAAATACTGATTGATTTCATATTCGATTAAATAAATAAATAATAAATTAAAAAGGTGAATGATGATGATGATGATGATGCTTTGTTAAAAAATTACATAAAATAATTACGACTATTAATTAATAGATGAGGTAGATTAAATTTAAAAAAAAAGGGTAGCGCAATCATTCATTTGTTTCTAGCGTGAAATTTTTTATTTAAAAGATGTAATAAAAGATTAACGTTAATCCGAGCTTTTCCAAATAAATCCATTTCGCGATATCCTTCAAATTGTAATTTGAGCAAATCCTAATTAAAAAAAAAAAAAAAAAATGCAAATTTTAATATTTTCTAGTTCTTATTTTCATCGTTTAAACTCGTCTTCGATATACATACCTGAATATCTAAATCAATTTTTTCTACTTCGACTCCCATAAAACGACCGTGAACGGAATAAATTCCATTTAATTTTGTCGTAGATATTTCAAATTGTACGTTTTTGAGCTGAGTCAAAGGAACTCCATTCAGGGAAATCAATACTCCTTTTTCCCGTAAACGTGCTCCGGAATATTTAATACTGTATTCTTTTTTTTCCTTATACCTGAGAATTAAATTATCACTTCCGGTAAAACTTTTACGTTTTGCCAATACATATATTTTGGCTTTTTTTTTTGGCACGCTTACCTTTTTGAACTTACTGTCAGATTAGAAAGACATGTTTTTAAATATTGTTCGTAACGAGATACTTGACTTTCGTAAAACTCTTTCTTTTCTTCAAGTCTAAGTAAAGTTGATTTCAATTCAATTATTTCCTTAAATTATAATTTTTTTAACAGATTATTATTATTATTATTATTATAAATTGTAACGAATTAAATTTTATATAAAAAAAAAAAAAAAAAAGGTCAAAGAACCTGTTTTTGAAGTTTTAAAAATTCTTGCTTGTATGATATATCGATTAATAAGGATTTGATAATTTCAATGTAATCGTTTTCGCTCCTCACAAATCCAGCAAGTTCCAATTTTGCCAATTTCGAATAAAGATCGAAATGTTTTGGAACGCAAATAGCGCTTGCCAGAGTGTCTCCCTTAAGTTCTCGAATTTTTTTCAATATTAATTTTTTCGTTCTGAAAATTTTCCATCCATTTTTTATAAATAAATTTTTAAATTGTTGTCGTATTTAAATAAAATATCATTTCAAATAATACTTGCTCGATGAATAATTTTTCGTTCTCCGTTACTTCTTGCGGAGGGATTTGAAATTTATTTTCCAATTCTAAACACACTTGAAGTCTTCCTGCTCTGCAAAGTGTTGCCTCAGATGAATCATCTGAAAAAAAAAAAAAATTTCCAATTACATAATCGAAAAATTACTTAATTTTTATTAGAAATATCGAGAGAATTCGAGAAAATATTTACTGCAGCCGACAAGTGTCGAGAGCGATGGAGGAGAACCAAGATCATCTAAAATTTCGTGAATTGGATCCATCGAATCTGGCGCAATTTCATGTTGGACTTCCAACAAAAGTTTATGACATTCTCTTATTTCCTCCAAGTTGATATAAATTTTGGGTTTGTTAATCATCAACGCTTCCGAATACTTATCGATGCGAAAATGTTTTTCGAGTTCTTCGACCGCGCAACAGTTTTTACAAAATTGTTTCATGATTTCGTGACACTCGATGATGAAGGGATTCAACGATTTCAAGTATTTCGTTTCTTCTCCAAACTAACAATTGAAATTAAATTTTTTTATTCAAAAATTCACCCGCACATTTTTAAATTAATTAAAACTTACTCCTTTTTTTGTTGCAGCAAAATGAAGGATTTTCGCTATGCTTGCCAAATTACGACGTTGTTCCTGCTTCATTGGCTGATCGGGTGGTAACGTTATCGTGCAAAAAGCGTCCGGCGCAACGATTGCTGAATTAATATACTGATAATAAACGAGATTTCCCACAATCTGAAATTTTCCAAAATAGAAAAAATTATTGTAGAAAAATCAATTTAAGACGCGCGCTTAAATCTCGCTTTTGATGAATAAATTTAAAACCTTTAAAATATCTTTTTCGAGCGCCTTTGGAAATTTTTGAAATAAAGCATTTTTTAATTGTTTCGCGATGAACCTTAAAGCGTATGGAAATTGATTGACGCATTGAACTAATCTATCCAGAAAGCATTTTACCCAAGACTGAAAAAAAAAATAAAAATAAAAAAAATTAATGTTTCGTAAAATTTCTAGTAGTTGGTAGTAATAAATAAAATTTTTTTTTTATAATAAAATAATACTTGTAAAATTTTTAAATTGTGATTCAAACGCATGACAATTTCCGGATAAGACAATGCTTCTTCTATGGATACCGTTTGAGGTAAGTTCGAAGGTTTCCCACTTTCCGTTTCTATTTGATTTACCCAACGACGATAAATATCAACTGGATTCGTATCGATGCACACTTTATCATTCAATACCTAAAATTACATTAAATAAATAATTGTTTTATAAGGCAGAAAACAAAATCGTAAGTATTAAAAAAAAAAAAAAAAAATTATTTTTTTGTTGAATTTTACCTTTTCGATTAAAAAACCTAAAATATTTTTCAGAGGATTATGATTCTGTCGAGTGAATGCAACTGCCAACCTTAACACAAGTGAATTTCCGGTTATGGCATCAACGGGTTTTTGAAATTTATTTTGAACTTCTTCAAAAAGTGCCAAACGAAAAAGGCGTAGAAGAAGATAAGCGTCGCGTGTGTTGGAACCGTAATTGAAAAGGGATAAAACGCAACTTTGTATCACGTGATTAAATTTCGACGGCAAGCGAACAATTAGTCTTGTCAAATAAACTAAAATACGAAATAAAAAAAAAAAATTTACATAACTTTTTTGCGGATAAATGATCCGAAATGTAAATAAATGTTAAAATTTACCAGGATCCGTTTGAAGAAGGTAAAACAATTGTCGGTATCCATCGAGTAACGTTTTAGCTTCCTTACTAAAAGCTTTTATTCCTCTCGAATCTATTCCCACGGTGGAAATATTTTGTATTTTTTTATTTTCAGCCACGATCGCCTCTACGGACATGCGATTTTGTACAAGCAAACCGATCTTAATATCCATTTCTTCAAGTTTTTTCGCTTGTTCTTGGTTCGTTCTAATTATTTTCACTATTGAACTTTTAATCTTCTGCAAAATAACAACCAATTTCTTAATTTTTGAAAAATTTTTTTATTGTAAAATTATAAACTTACTTGAATTTCTAATTCGACAGAATAATCATAATGGTCGTTTAAATAATTAAGTAAGCTTAAGCGTCGTAAGTATTTAAAAGATGGTTCGATTTTAGAATCTAAAATTTTGTTATGAGAATTAAAATTTTTTCTAGTCAAGTATCCCCTCCAAAAAGCTTGAATTTTTATAATTTTTCGTACCTGAAAAAAAAAAAAAAAAAAAAAAAAAAATACAAATTTAAAATAATATTATAAATTCGGTGAAATCGATTTGTGAATTTAACAAAAATATTACGTGTTTAATGTAGAAGTCATCAGGAGAAGAAAATTTTTTTTCATTTTTTCCAATTTGAGCTTCGATTAATTTTTCGTTTTGAATTCTTCGCCACCATTTTTGAATTAATATAATAGCCTTAAGTTTCTTTTTAATATTTTTGCGGATTATAAACCCACGAATAGCTCCTTGAAATTTGATGAGAATTTCACTATCGAAATGAAAATTCTCTAAAGATGTACGTTTAAACGAAGTTGACTCAAAATTACGAATGATAAACTGCAAAATAATAATAAAATTTGAAAATTTCCAATCACAGCCATTAGTAAAAATTAATTTCAAATAATTTTTCCGAAATAATACCTCGATGTCGTTAATTGGTATTAAACAAGGTAATTTTTTTATGAAATCGACCGTTGGAAACCATTTGATGCTCCCGCTGGAGGGATTTAAATAAATATTTATTTCATCTTTTAATTTTACTTTGAGCCAGATATCAGACGAATTATTTTTTTCAATATTTTTGTAACCATTCGTTGTCAAAAACTTATTTTTTGATTTTTGATTAGTTTCAAACGTATTCGGAGGTAAACAATCACGTAAATTTTTCCCACGTAGAAAATCACAAACTAATCAAAATAAAATTTTTCATATTAATAGCGTTCATCAAATTTAAAATCCTACAAAAAAAAATATTTCAAAAACATACTAAATAAAGCCTTTTTTTTTAAATCTTTCATTTCATCCACAACGGAAATTACGTCATTTAACCAAAGTTCTCTATCTTCATTCATTTCCTCTTCCTTCATTAATTTTTTTAGTAAATGCATACAAAGAATAGCATCATCGTCTGACAATTCTTCTTCAGAAGTTACGCCTTGTAACGCGGGTAAAAGTTTTTGCGTATTCGAACATTGAACCGCATTATTTATTTCTTCCAAATATATTAAAGCTTAAAATAAAAAGAATAGATTTAAAATTTTTTAAATGCGACTCATTAATTTCCCTTATAGTTAGTGGGGTACGAAAATGCTTACTATTTGTTTGTTCGAGGGTTTGAATATTAGCCATATCTATGCATTCTTGTATATCAACAAATGTCAATAAGGTATTTTCCAAATTTTGATTCTTTTTTTGCTCCCTGCAAGCACTTAATGCTTTAAAATACTGCGTTTTTAAAGCAATGTCAATATTCTAGAAAAATTAAAAATTAAAATTATTATTAATTAACTCTAAAATATGAAAATTGTGTAAATTGTATGCGTTAATTTGATAAATTTATTTACCATAAAAGGAATGTCTGCATTCCACAATAACATCCAAAAAGATTTATAATCGCAATTATCAACGGCTACTGTTATTTTGGCAATATTATTTAAAATAAATATACTACTTTTAATATCTTTGTAAGTTAATTCCTGAAATTTTAAAAATTAATAATTACTATTACGTAAATTAGATATCCCCAACTTTTTACCCTTATATTGCTATTTTTAGGAATTGAAAATTTTATAATATGTAAATTTGATTAAATAATAAAACATATTAAATAACCTTTGACATTTTTAAATCTTCGCGCATTTCCTCCAAATACAAAGGGGCAGCAAAATTTATTATTTCAGATGATAATTTTAAACATGGTATTTTAAGTGCTGTTAATAGATTATCTTTGCTGTTGCTTTTAATTGCTTCTTCGACTTTTTTGACAGCGTCTGAAACTAAATATCGAATAGGCATATCAAATTATGAATTAGAATTAAAAAGTTTTGAACAATTTCACGAAATAATTTTACCCCTAGAAAATTCCTTAAATTTTCGATTTCCATTCCGGACAATACCATGTATTTTTTCTCTAGCCTTATTTGTACTTGCAATATTTGGATCAATTGATAGTGCTTCATTGATGTAATACTCTAAATTTTTACTTTGATAATCCTAAATTATTAAATTCAATCAACTTTTATAATTAATTCTTTGAATTAAATCAATTAATATTAAAATTTAATTTTTTTAATATTCAAATGATCAATGATATGTAAATTTTACCTTGATTTCAGGAAAAAATGATTCAATGATTTTTTTCAAATTATGCCTATCTCTTTTTTTTACAGATAATAATATATCTCGCCATGTGCATTCAACTAAAATTTATAAAATAACTATTTTCTAAAAAATTTTTATATAATGAAATATCGAAAACTAATAATTTATTTTTTCCTTACTGTTTACTTCTCGTATGTACCCTTGAATTTCACTAAGACTTAAAGTAATATTATAACTATTGGATTTGCATTTTCTATTTAATGACTGATTTTGTGCTGATTGAAATTTTTTATTTCGAGCATTTTTGAATGCTTTTAAATAATAACTTATATATTCAGGTATTATTTGGACCAGATTAGCAGAAGTCAAATTCAAACTAGATAATAATTTTTCGTTAGACTGAAAAGAATAAAATAATAAGTTTATATTTTACACAAATGAATAAATAAATATTTCGACTACTACTTACCTCTTCTATTATCGCTTGATTAAGATTATTAATTTCAATGTTTAAAGTATTTTTATCATTCGTCAAACATTCTGCTAATAAGTCATTAATTTTTTGAAATTCTGGCAATGATACATTATTTTTTTCCATGTCGAAAGATATTGTATCAATATCATTTTCTGCATAAATAAAAATTAAAATTACCATTAGGTGTTCGATAATTTTGAAAGATACAAAACTCATTGCAAATTTATTATTCACCTGTGAATTGCACTTTACCATATAATTCTTGGATCAAAGGAGCTTGACCCAAGTGAAATAAATAAATACTTAAAGCATGTATACAATAAATAACTTGAGGCATGTCCTTTTTGTCATAAATACCTGCTGCTTCTACAATAAATTTCTTAGGCAAATTTATCGATTTTAAAGCTTTTACCCAGTAACTAACATTCTCGGCATGTTGTGGTTGAAGACCAACACTTTTGTATTTATGCTGAAATATGTCATATATTCTACTAAGAGGGACCCTTTCAGGTGCTATAAAGTTACCTATTTTTGCTAAATAAACCCCATTTCTCAGGTTTTCTTCTATAAGAATAGTAGGAGGAAGAGGCTCATTTAAAATTGATTCCATCCATCTGCAAATATTATGTTTTTAACAACTACCAAGATGTATCTAACTAAGATACAGCATATAATAATTTAATATATATTTACTTACAATTTAACCTCTTCTATTCTACATAAATATTCATATGCTACTGAATTTTGGTGAAAATTATTCACCTTTAGAGTTTGTTGCTTATCTCCTAAAATACATTATTATTTTGATCAATATATAAAAAAAATTTGAGTGGTAATTTATTTCTAGTAAATCTTTAGTATTTATAGTATGCAGTAAAGTTTAAAACAAGTAGAAACTTGCTCGAATTAAGAAAAAATGGTTTCATTAAATATTTGGGAATAATATTTAAATTAGCAATAGGTATAATTCTACTATTTTTGAATTTAATTAATTTTCAGCCAAAATACTATTAATTTAAATCGTTTTATTGCTAATAAGAAAATTCGAATGTTTTTTTTTTTATCTACTAAATTAAATATAAATATTAAATAAATGCTACGCACCTATTTCTTTTAATTTCATAGTGCATGTCTACTTTAAAACTGTCAAGTCGAAAATTGTTATTGACCGTTAGGAATAGCATTTCTAATATCACGTGGTCATATTTAAGCGGTTCGTAATACGATTGGCCGTTATTTATTTCAAATAAACCGCCAAAAAATGTTTTTAGTCTGTTTTTGAAATTGAAAATGTGTAGTAAACAATTAAATCATTTAGTTGTTGTAATTTACTTGCAAATCATTTATTTATTTATAATTAAATAAATACAATTATTCGAAAAAGTGCACATAGAAGTATTAAAATATGTATCATTCAAGTGATTATTTAAATATGATTTCACAAAAAAAAAAATTAAATATTAATTTTATTTATTGATTTTGTACAAGTGTACTCTCAACTTTTATTATTAATTTTACATTTTTATAATATAATTATTATTTTATTATGGGTAAACACACTATTTAAATAATAAAAGAGTATCAAATATTACTTTTTAATAATTATGTGGGGGGGGGAGGAGTCAAAATTTCATTCAAATTTCAAAAATGAAATGTTTAAACCTAGAATTTTTCACATAAAAAAAAATTTGAAATAAAAATTTGAAATGAAACAAAAAAAAAATGAATTTAATAAAAATTTAACCAATAATAAATTTAGTTGAACACCAATTACGATTATTAACCATTTGAAATGATAAATTGTGATAACCTTATGACCTCAGAACTTTAAACTCTAGTTTCAATAACATCATTTGTTTAGTTAATTGAAAGTAAGATAATTTTAATCGAATTCAATATTTTATTTTATTTTAAAATATTAAAAACAATGTCATCTATTTATTTATTTATTAAATATATATATTTTTAGAAAAATTTATTAAAACAGCAAATAACTGGAGAAAATGAATGGACATTTATGGATATTGATATTTTGTTTGATTTTTTCCTGTCATGTAATTTCAGGACTTGATGGTAAGTTTTTTTTTTTTTTTTTTTCTTTTTTTTAAATTAATTTTTCATTAATTAATAAATATTTTCAAGGTAATAAATTTATTATTTTGTAAAAAAGATTTATTTTTGATAGTAATTAAATTAAAATTAATTATTTTGTATTGGATATAATTAAAAATCAATAAAGCAAAGCTTATCTGAAAAAATACTTTATTTTGTTTTAATTATTTACAGTAAATTAAAACAAAAAAAAGTTGAGAAATATTTTATTAATTAAAAAAAATATACTATTAATAGGAATTTTGATGTATTTAAATTTTTAAATACAACACAGTATATGCTCTTTTCTCATAACTATTTCAAATAATCAATAATTTATTTACAATGTATTGATAATTATTTTGTTTATTTATAGTATTGATAATGTTTGTAAGTAATGAGAAAACAAAAAAAAACAATCATTTCATATTTTATTATGTAAAAACGAATTTAATAATTTAATTTAAATAAATAGTTTTACAAGTGATGGTGCTTCTATTAAAAATAATATTAAATTGCTGGTAAAATATTCATTCAAAAATTTTAATAAATTTAAAATAATGCATTTTAACAAAATGTTTTTTATGAAAATTATTTCCACCTTATTTATATTAATTTAATTTTTTTAAAAGTTATTATTTAAAAAAAACAAATTACCATGTAAAAATAAAAATAAAAAATAAATAGTAAGCATTTTTTGGGGGGTTTTGCAGGAATTTTTAGGGATTTTGAAAGGTCAGAGAAAATTATTTAAATACAGGTGAAAATTAAAACTAACCGTTAATTATTTAAACGTTAAAAATTAGTTTTCACACATTTTCTAAATATGTGTTTAATGTTTTTACATGGGCTTTAAATTTTTGACTTTAAATATTTTTTCTTTTTTAGTATTATGGAAATATTTGAGAAAAAAAATGTTTTCTTACTTTATTTTAAGATTCTATTTTAAATTTAAAGTAAAATTTGCACATATCAATGAGTTAAAAACCAAAAATTTAAATTTGTAAGAAAAACATAAAATTTAAATTTGTTTCAAATTAATGTTTTATATATATATATTTAAAATGACATAATAGAACACGTTAGTTAATGGCACACTTTAAAAAATTAAAGTTTTTATCATCATTTCAATTAATTAATTTTTTTTTTTCTTTTTTCAGATTCGAATGATAAATTTACTATTAATCATCATGAACAACTACTTTTTCAAAAGAAAATTTCCGAACAACTTATTCAAATTTTAAATCATTACAAACAAGAAGATCCGATTGGTTTACCAAATGCTCCAGTACCGGATCCAATGGCCATACCAGACATGAAACATTCATTTTCCGTTGCAACAATGAATTTTAAAAATTCAAGCGTTCACGGTTTATCCATATTCAGAATAGAAAAAATCGAATCCAATGTCGCCGACATGGAGGTAATGATTTTAACTTATTTTTTATATTGATTAATTAATAATTATTATGTCAATGATTATAAGTAGGTATTTTATTAGGTTTTGGTAGCAATGTCAATCGAACAGCTTCTTATAAAAGGACAATACACCATGTCCACGTGGTTTAGTAGACAACAGGGTGATTTTAATGTTACACTATCGGGGGTGTTAATAAAAGGACTTGCAAGTATGGAAGTAAATCAAAATGGACAGTTGGAAGCACAGAATATAAATATGGATATTACTTTTCAAAACATTGCAATGAATTTTCAAAATTTGGGATTTATGGGAAGTATATTTCAGGGTATAATTAATTCTGTGGGAACGTTTTTATTTGACAGCATCAAACCTTTGATTCTAAGCCAGGTAAATGATAATGTAAGAGGAGATGTAAACAAACACATAATGGAACTACCGCAAAGATTTCCTAATTCGATATCACCGTTGGATATGTTCATATCAGAAATGAGAAAATTTGCAAGAATAAAAAAATTCGATCCGTACAAAATTGATAACTATAATAATTCTGCTGGAATATTCACCGTGGAATTAACTAATACTTGGGTTACGGGTTTAGCAAGTTTTTACAGGGTGGGAAATGTTACTCTCACAATGAAAGAAAAAGTTTTATATGCTGGATTACACGTTGGTACCAATCAATTATTTGGAAGTTGCCAATGGGAAATCGGTGTCGCAGGTTTAATGTCAAGAGCTGGAACGGTTTCTTTTACGACGGAATACATTCAAGTAAACGTGACGGTAGCTCAGCCATTGGATGTAAGAAAAAAGCCTAAAATTGAAGATTTTAATTTAAAACTCGGAAACATTCAAATGCGTGTCAACGGTGCTGGAACAACTGATTATGTTTTAGAATTTCTCGTTAATATTCTTCCGAATATATTAAGATATCAAATAGTTGATGCCATCGAAAATCCCATTAAACAACACTTTCAAAATTATATTGATCTTATTAATATTGAACAAATGATTGACGAAAAATTACCGACATTTTATGAATTATTGGCTTTGAACGACACCGTTAATCCCGAAGTTAACGATATTGAATTTTAAATAAAAAAACATTTTTCACACACAAATACTAATTTTTTTTTTTTTAAATTTTGTTCACGGATCGATATTTAAATAAATAAATAAATAAATTTGATATAAAATAAAATAGTGTATTATAATAAATATAATATAATGTGTATATTAAAATAAATCATTAAATAAAATTATGAATGAAAAAAAAATAAAAACAAAAAATTTAATTAAAGTACTTAATTCATACACAATCTCGAAAGGATAACACGAGGGGGGAGGGAAAATAATAATAATAATATTAATTTATTTGTAAATTTTAAATAATAATTTTTCTGTTAACTTAATCTCAATCTTTGTTTATTGTTTTTACAGCAGCAACAGCAACAGCAAAGAGAAAAAATTAAAAAAATAAGCAAATAATAAAATTTTAATTATTAATAATAATTTGATAATTTCTAATTATTATTATTATTTTTTCTTTTGTGATTCGTTTTTATTTTTAGATTCTTTATAATTATTAATAATTTTAATAAGAATATATGCACATACGGTTAAAACGACCGTTATGAATATGTGTACGTCTAATAATGATTCGCTAAACCAATAAAGTTTTTTACTGGATGGCCTAAGATGTGGGGCTCCTTTAAATTTTAATACATATTCAGTCCAATAAATGGCAGTGTTCATTGGTGATAGAGGTCTTTCTTTAAATTTAGCCGCAAGAATTTTCGTATTATCGGAATACCTTAAACAAAAAAAAAAAGATTTTAAAAAATAAATTTTAAATGAATGTGAACGAACATGGTACATTCCATGGTTACTTATTTACTTTTTATCTTCAAGTACAGTTTTTAGGGCTCTTAAAAATCTATCTCCAGATAAAGAGAAGTAATCTAATACGATTCCACAACCTTTTTCGGCTACAGCAGCAGCATTATAAAATTGATCACCAAAAAGAGGAATGACAATCATTGGAACACCATTTGACACTGCTTCTAAAATTCCCATCAAACCTCCATGTGTGACGAAAACTTTTACTTTTGGGTGAGCTAAAATTAATTAACAATTAATAAAAATTTAAATTTTTTCAATCAATTTATCAATCGAAATAAATTCAAAAAAAAAAAAATTTACCCAATACGTCGTTTTGTGGAACCCATTTTTTTAATAAAACATTTTCCGGTTTTTCCGGCATATCATCGGCATCCCATTTCATCAAAACGTTTTCCGTCACGTTATTAAAACCTTTTAAAATGGCATTTTTTCTTTTAGTCGATAGCGTCGAAATATTAGTAGCTGAACCGAATGAAAAATAAATTATACCATCTTTTGATTTATCAAAATAACTTTGTAAATCGGGTGGAAGATTTTTTGGAGGCCGAAGATGAATACCACCGACTTCGACCATTGATGGTACCAAGGGTCGAGATTGAAATAATGAAAAATGACTGTTTACCAGGAAAAGACTCGTATTCGATACAATATCTTTTACTTTTGGAATGCCTTTACCCAAATTTCTTTTTATTATTTTATCCGTTGGACCGTTTGAATACATATTATAATAAGTTTTTGAAAAAAATAACGATAGACTATTTTTAAGACGTGCGTAAAAATTCATTTCTGATGAAAATTCGCTTAATGTATGTGCCACGTACGATGGATTATCCGGGTTACCCATTCTATCGTTATGCCAAGGTAAAGGAGCTGATGAAAAAATACCAACGAGTGGAGCTTTAAATATGTGAGATAAAACGGAAAAACAATCGGTGTTGAAATATTCCACAACGACAACATCAAAATGTTTTTTCGATTCGATAAATTTTTTAACATTAGAATTTGACAAACCATTTCTACACGTTCTTTGTCCTGCTTCATTTATATACGAAATCTCGTTGTATTTCATTAATATTTTCGGAGTCGATTCATATTTTGTCAAATCCACGACAAAATTAAAAATTTCATCTTCGAATTTTATCACTTTAACATTTTCGTTCATTTTTATATTTGTCGTATTGAACCCTGTCAAAAGCGTTATTTTATGTCCTCGTTCGGCTAATTTTTCAACATATTGCTCGTACATAAAAAAATGGGATTTCCCCGAATTTCCAAAAGCTACCAATATATTTTTACCATTTGCATAGTTTACGTGTAATGTAAACGTGCATAGTAAAAATATAATAAACGTGTAAAAAAAATTATTCATCGTGTTAAAATAAAATTATATGATGGCGGCACCGGGGGTCGGGGGCTGGGTAAATGTGTCGAAGGCACCTGAAAATACATTTAAAAAAATTAATAATAATAATAATATTATTAAATAAACGTGACCACATGTTTTATATTTCAATTGGCCAAGTACCAAATATCTAAAAAAAAAAAAATTATATATATTTCGTGTGCTAAACAAAAATAGTTCGATAAATTGGCCCCGGCGTTCGAATATAAAAAAAAAATATATACTAATAATAATAATAATAATAATAATAATATTATTTAATAAATAAATTTTAAAAATATATATAAATAAATTTTTCGTTAAGACAATAAAAAAAAAGATGACATACACATACGTTATTATTATTAATTAATAAAAATTTAAATAATAATTTAAATAATTTACATGATGATGATGATAATAATTTAAAAATTATAAACAAATTAAATTTTTTTTTGTTAATAATAATCGTTTAAGGTACGTAAAATATTATTTTTTTATTTTCAGGTACGTGAAAAAATAAAATTCTTCATTAAATTTTGCAATTAATTAACGCGTAATAAAAAAAAAATATTTTGCTGTTGTTGTTGTTGTGGTTGTTATCATTATTATTGTGTCTCAAAATAAATAAAATGATAATAAACATACCTGAGATTAATAAATGCCCAACATATTAAATAAAAATAATTAATTAATAAAAGTGATTTTAATAAAAAAAAAAATTTCCCGACGTTTTTCCTGTTTAAACGTACGTAGCAAACTGTTGTGTGTGTTTGGCAATCATCTCGCAAATCCGAAAATAAAATTAAAAATTTAATTTTTTGGCCGTTTGGCCAAAAAAAATTCACGGGACTTTTTTTTCTTTTAAATTATTTATATAATTTTTTTTTTTTTTTTTTTTACTTTTTAATTTAAATTTGCTGTTGTTGTTGTTGTTGATTTTTTTTTCCCTGTCACAATTTTTTTAACAACAGGAGTACAATCTGATTTTTATCTTTTTTTTTCATATTGTTAATAATATGTTTTCTCCTTTTTTTTTTTACGGTTAAAAAAAATCTAATTGAAAAAATAAATAAATAAATAATAATAATAATAATAATTTGATGAAGTATATATATATATATATTTTTTTTTTCAAACAAAAAAAAAAAAAGGAAATGAAGGTTTCCTTATCTAAAAAATAAGGAAAAAAAGGAGAAAGAGTGAGAGAGAGTGGAAAAAAAACAATCTTAACTTGAATTTTTTACTAAAATTCCTTGCAAACAAACAAACAAACAAACAAACAAACGAACAAACAAAAATATTTTTTTTTAAATGTAATAATATAAATCTTTATTTTTTTCTTGTTTAATCTTTGCTAATCTGTTGCACTCTGTTGCCTCATTTTATTTATCACTTTTTATTTTCTTTAAATTTTTTTTTTTTCTCTTCTCTTTTCTTCTTCTTCTTCTTCTTCTTCTCACTAAGATTAATATTCGTAATTAACAAATTTATTATTATTATTATTATTAAGTTTTTTCTTTTTTTAAACATTTCGTGAAGAATTATTTAAAATGTTTTTAAGATGGGGAAAAAAAAAGAAAATTTTTTTCACTAAAACGTTTTCCTTTCTTTTTTTTTTTAAGGTTAATCTCGCACGTATGTTGATATTATTATCATTATCATCGTTATCAATTTCGGACGTCAAAGAAAATAAGTTTTTTTTTAACGTAAATAAATAAATAAGAAAACTCATTTTAAAAGTTTATAATTTAAAAAAAAAAAAAAAAAATTGAATACGTTGAATGTAAATTTTAATTTTCAGCTTATTAGCTTTTTAAAAAAAAAAAGTTTTTCTTATATATAAGAATCAAAAAAAAAAATTTTTTTCAACACGTTCAGGTACGAAAAAGAAGAAGAAAATAATAATAATTTACCCAATTTGAATAATAATGATGATGATAATGGTGATGATAATAAAAAAATTTTTTTATTTTCCTGTCAGTTGCAGTTTAAAAAAAAAAATTTTTTTTTTCTTTTTTTCTCTTTCTTTCCCCCTCTCCCCCTTCCCCTCCCCTCTCTCTCTCTCTCATATTTATCAATTGCGTTTTAAAAATGTCGTGCCTTAAGGTTTTTAAAAAAATACCTGAACTTAATCAATAAAAAAAAAAATATTCTTTTGATTAACAAGTTAGGAAAATTTTATAATAAATTACAAATAAAATTGCTGACACGACGGAAAACCAAAAAAATTTTTTTTTTTTATTTTCTCCATGTTGGAAAATTTTTTTTTTTTAGTTAAATTATTTGTTTATTTTTGAATATTATCGAATTATAAATTCACAAGAGAATGTTTTCCAATCATTAACCGGCGGTGTATCAAATTATTAGTTGCGTGTGTGTGCGTGTGTGCGTGTGCGTGTGTTTGTGTGTGTACAAAAGTTCTTCTTGCGATTGATAAAATATTTAAAATTGGGTTTAGAGTATCCTCTAGAGAAATAAGATTCTGTCTCGCTATATATATTTATTTTGAAATTAAGGTAGGGCGGGAGGGGAAAGGGAAAGTGGGGGTGTGGAGGGAGGTAGGAAGGGAGGGAAAACGAACGGCCATTATTATTAAAAATATTTTTGTGATTCTAATTTGAAATTGCTTCGTTATGAAAAATCTTTACTTTTTGATTTTCATTTCTTTATTTCCTCCGAGACTTACGAGGAAAGACCCTCTTTCGATTATCTATCTCTCTCTCTCTCTACCCAAATTTTTTTAGTAATAAAACCGGAAATGAAAAAAATGAGTTCGGACAAAAATTTTAACTTATGCAAAAATTGCCCAAAATTTTTTTTTTTTTTTTTCGATTCCCTTTATTCGAATTTTTGTTTATTTTCTTCTGCTAGGAATTTTTTTTTCGGGGGGGGGGCCGAGAAGGGGGTGGGAGGGCGAAGGGAAGCGCGTAATTGAAAAACAAACAAACAAAAGAATAAAATGAAAAAGAAAAAAACAATTTTAACGCAATTAATTAATACTACCGTTTTAACAAAAAAAAAAAAACATTTAAGATTTTTTTTTTTATTTTTTTTTTGTTAAATTAAAAAGAGGACTAAGGGAAGAAGGAAAAAAGGGAGGAATGGAAAAACGTTGGTTGGTTGGTTGACGAGGGTAGTGAGAGGAATTTATTGAAATTGTGAAATTGCATTCCTGTGCAGGGAACCGTAAGGGAAGACGACGTCAGTTACAGGAATCTTTCTTAGTTTACTTTTAACAGAATTTTCCAATTGAAAATTGTGTGAAAAATAGTGTTCTACGTCATTCTATATTCCCTCCTTTCACCCCCTCCCCCCACTCTCCTCCCCTTCATTTTTTCAAATATGTTTTGAGTGTGCTAAGAATTTCCTATTTTACCTAACGCACATAAAAAAGAAAATTTTTTGCGCGAATTTGTATGCAAAAAAGTCAAATCATTCAACGGATAAATTAAAAAGAGTTTTCCTACCCTTTTTTTTTTTTTTAAACTTAAAAATCATATAAAATAAAATTTTGGAAATATATATATACATCACTAAAAAGAAAGAGAGAGAGAGAGAGAGAGGTTGGATCAAATAGGTTAAAAATGTTTAATTTATTTCATAAAAAAAAAAAAACAAAAACAAATAATAATAATATATTCGTGTTTAAAAGAAATTGTAATAAAACAACACGATGATAATAATTTTCAGGTATTTCTCACTTGAGTTATTATTTTTTTTTTTAAGATAATAATAATAATAATAATATTATTTGTAAGGTATTTTGGCATAATGTATGTGAGCATGAGCCTGGACGTCCTTATAACCGCCTCTTTTATGGTGGGGGACTCTTTGGCGACGCCGCCGTCGTACATATTTTTACAATCCGACACGATTTTTCCTTAATCAACTCAGTGCGTGTTATCGAGTCCATCTAAAATAGTTTTTCTTTTTTTCTTACCTTTTTTTCCATTCATTTTATCGTATCGAATAATAATAATAATAATAATAATCACGTTTTAATAGTAACAAAAAAAAAAAAAAACTTTGTCTGTTTGTGTACTCATTAAAAAAAATGAAATAAATAAAAACAATAAAAATTTTTCATACCTAAAATGAAAAATTATTTTATGGAAAAACAAATTCGAAAATAATAATAATAATAACGGTGAGTCGATTAATATTACATAAAATTATTTTTTTTACATGTTTTTTTTTTTTGACGAACAAACAAACAACAAACAAACAAACAAACGGAAATTTATGCTTACTAATATTATCATCACATCATCATCACGTATTTGAATCCGCGTATTAAAACTTTAATAAAGAAAAAAAAAAATGAAAGAAAAAAAAAAATTTTTTTTTTTTTTTTTTTTTTTCATTTTCATTTTAATAATAATAAACAATGTCTTGCGAGAAAAAAAATGGGGGGAAGGGGTAGGGAGGAGGAGGGTAGTAAGGGGAGGGGATAATTTAAAATAAAAACTTACTCACACTGTTGGTTTTTTGTTGGGGGGGTTTATTTATTGTGGTAAAAATAATAATAGGGAAAAAAAACCTTAAAGAAAATTCACCTCATAATAATAATAAAACCCATTAGCGTTCGTTGTGTGGTGGTTTTAGGAAAAATTTTCTGTTCATTTTCTATTTTTCTCTTGTTTTACCTTTTATTATTATCATTATCATTGCCTTTGTTATTATTACTATTATTATTATTATTTTCTTAGTTAATTTTTAAACTAAAAAAAAAAAAATTTCAGGTTTTATTATTATTTATTTATTTATTTAGGAAAAAAAAATTTTTATTAATTTTTTTTTTATAATCGCTAAAGTTTTTCTATGTTTTTTCCTCCCTCCCCATATACTCCTCCTCGTCTTCCTACCCCCGCTACCCCGTATAAAAATTTTCACTTCTGGCGTTTGTCTAATTTTAATATTTATTACGTGAAAAAATTCAATTAAAAAAAAAATTTTCCTTTCTACCTACCTACCTATCTACCTTC